GAAAAAAAATTGAAATAAAAGTCAAGATACTAGCTTGGTACGGTTACCTTGTGGTGCAATTCTTGGGAAAGTTTCATATTTCTTATCCTAGTTAAAAGAAAACACTACATTGTATTAATCAATTATAAATGAATCATATTAATCAGGTCTCCTGTATTTTAATTTATCTCGTTATATTTCTCTTGTCTAAAGATATTAGTCAAATCGAAAAAGGTACTACCTCCGGTCCAAATTACTCGCAACTTTGGGGTATTATTTGTGAGATATAAAGTATTCCAAAGTTGCGAGTAATTTGGATCGGAAGTAGTATAATATTTCATAAGATAGTCCGTCATACTTAAGATTGAGTGATGAAGAGAGAGTATACAACTATACATGATTGTATACATGGTGTCGGACTATTATTTTACTAAGTATTTTTCTTTAGTAAAAACGGGTCATATACTTAATTATGATGTTTGAGAATACGCATGCATGTGACTATATTTTTGGACAGATAGAGTGTTAAAACTCATTTCTTTCTTGTTTTGTAATCAATATTTTTATTTAAGTCATAGATTTTTAATACTCTACTCCAAAACGCATTAATATCAGTAATTAAAGGTTTTATAAATCGTACATATTAATTAACCGATACACACCAATAATACATTTGTACATAATGTTGGAAACTTTTGTAAGAACTAGGATAAATCTAATGAAACATAATTTAATCTCTCGTTGAAAAAATAGTAGCTAGGAAGCAAGAATTCCAAACTAATTCTACCAAAAATTGTTAATATTGTTAACTATATTCCAAAATTAAAATAAGCAAAAGTATCAAAGAAGTGCCAAGCTAAGTATCCGCGTGTTTGCTGTCCTTAGTTTATTTAAATGTTCAAGTTATTAACTAAAAAAATTGTAATTTACGCCATTGTTTTGAATTCGACTAGTCCTCAGAATTCCAAACAAGGAAATCTAGTTGAGCAAGAAATCTATTACTAGTAAAATTCTTGTTCTTTGACACTCTCTTATTATTAGCATGTAATTATATGCTAAACATAGAAATTAAGTTAAGGATGATTTGTTATATATAGGAAAAACTTGAGGATGAAGTTTAAGAATGAGGCTAGGTAAAATGGGAAGATTTGAGACACATTACCACCTTCTTAGGCAAACTCTCCATTCTTTTCAACTCCTATATTGACTTATCAAAGATCAATGATGTTAATCATGTCATACAATCGTTTATGTATAATAACACCCCGTGTTCTAATTAATAACAATACTGTCAGACGAGATATGATCTTAGATCATGTATATGTACCACGTGTGTGTGTATATATATATATATATATAACCAATCTTAGCTAGATGACATCCTATATAAAGCAGAAAAAGAAATACCTTATGGCAATATAGATGGACTAGTTATAAATGTAAACGGATGTTTATGTAATAATTCACATCAATAAACAATTCATTGAGTGGTATTAGTACAAACGAATTTTCACTTTATAAACATTTTTGCATGGATATGAACTATTTTAGTTGTTTAAAATCTTGAACTTTGCATTCAGAACCTGAATTTAAATTTTATCTATGTCATTATTCATTGCCCTTACGACTTTAAATAAATTTGCTGGAAAAAAGAAATGTCGTATAAATTTTGCATCATGGTTTGTTTAGTCTCGCATATTCATAGAAAGGCCATGTACTAGAAGTGTTCCTGTATGTATGTAATTTTCATTTCAGTATTAATCGTAGGATGATAATAGGGATATATTATACCTAGTTATATATTTTAATTATGCTAAATTAGAGTTGTCCAACTATATATTGCATTAAGTCAAAGATTTTCTTGGTGCATACGTCAACATTTTTTATAATAAATTTATACTCATGTAATGATGTACTCCCAAAAAAATAATGAGATATACTAAAATATGCATTATAATTAAGTAATGGTCTTTTTCATCACAAATTTCTTAGTATTTATTTTTCCTCCCTTTTTGGTGAGTGAAGATTATGTTTGAGAAAATTACGTTCATATCTTAGTGAAAATCGAGAATTATACTTCTTTTGTTTTAAAATAATACTCAATTACTCATAGCATTATTGTTATACTTCGTATTTGTTAACGCTAAACTTTTACCATTAATATCTATAACTATTTATTAATAATATAATGTAATGATTTATAACACACATAACATACACAACTCTAAATGAAATATAGAACCAATCTTGTTTTGGGGGAACCACTCCACATTGCCTTTCAACTGACATTAACTCAAGGCTACCATGGGATATATGACTCACTAGTAATTATACATGATTTCAAACAATATTAGTTATATGACCCCGATATACATCTTCGACAATTTTACTCGTAAGATTTTTTAACACTGAATTCAAAAACCTCAAAAATTGGTCCAATATCGTGTATATTATAGCTTTATAGCCTTCTTTTTCTAACAATTTTGGATATTTTTGCATTTTAAAAAATTGGTGGTCGGGATTCTTCCCATGGACCCCAAAACACCATTGGACCATTTGGGTGGTTGTAACTTTCCATTTTTCCTTTAAATCGTCGATTTAAATTAGCCGTTTTTGTACATGCCTCCCATAAAAACTCAGGGTCACCACGGGTCTTTCTACGACCGACTTGTGGTCATATATGGTTTCCAACAAAATTATACGACCCTACAATGCATCCCCTACAATCTCGGGATTTTTATACACCGAGCCTCAAAACCTCCAAAATTAGTCCAAAAGCGTGAATTATAACCTTCAATTTTAGACAATTTTAAAATTTTTCAGACTCGAAAATGGAAGAGGTCAAGGTTTCCACAAATCCCACAACACCCAGAAAGATCATTTGAGTGGTTGAAATCATCTACTTTGTTTTTAAACGGTCAATATAAATGTCTTTGTACAAGCCTCTTTTCAATGGCTAATTTTAAAAAATAACACATTGAACTATAAAACATATATATAGCTTAGTATAAATTCTACCATATACCACGAATTCTAAGTCTATTTTGCCATATTCGACCCGTTATCATCTCTAGGGTGATAGTAAGTACATAGATACATCCGCCCAGGCACGCGCACACACACATACGCACAAGTGACACAACACATAGCGTGCATGGGCGCAAACTATGGTGCTACCCGGCCGGGTGCACATCTAACTTGTCTAGTAGACAGCCACACCGTACCATAAAGTGAATAATGAACATTATTATTATAAGACTCTTAATAAGTAGTTGTACACGCAAGGCACAATATAGAAAGAATAAAATAAAATGGAGTAACATGTGCGTCATAGATTGAAAAATTAAACAGAAAAGATGGAAGTAAGGTAAATCCATTGGTGCACATACATAAAATTATAATTAATAAACAAACAAAAATGATAAGTGAATGTTTGGTAAGAAGAAGATCAACTGTGTAATAACGACACTAAAGGAGCAGTTAGAGACTATTTATTTTATCTTATTTGTGTCGTAAATTGAAATTTTATAGTAGTTCAACTGGAGATCAAAAAGAACACCAAATTACAAGCTAAATTTTGTATAACTTATTTATATTATTAATTAATAGAATGTAAGTATATCTTTTGATGTGATTTAATTTGTAGGATTACCTACTGCTTTATTGTTTTCTGTTGGATTTTAGATGCTGCTTTTAGGCTCAAGCAAGCTCTTGTGCATGATCTATTGTCATCAATATATTTTTTCCTTTTTTTTTTCAATTTTACTAGTGAATTTTTATTACTTTTGATCGGATTACCATGGTGTATATATTGACAATATACAAAATCAAATACATTAGTGTTTTGGATAAAATTAAAGCAAAAAAATTCGAATATATGCTGGTGTAACACCAAAACAGAAAAACATTATTATTAAACTATTTTCTATATTAAAACATTACGAAGTACGGAATATAATTTATGTTTTAAAAAAAGGGCCTCTTAGATAAAACAATCTCATGCTAAATCTACTTACGTAAATTTATTTTTTTCTTTTATAAAATACAATCTTTATCACTAGATTAAATATTATTTGATATTGTGTACTGTATATTATTCATATGGACTATAGAGTACGTAAGTAAGTAAGAAAGCAATCAGTCTTGTATTTGACTCTATCAAATGTCGGCCACGTATCTAACTAAACACCTCCCTCGGACAAAAGTCTACGGTGACAGCGTAAAGCTTCACCTTAATCATGTTTTTATGCATGCATATTTCCACATTCTACTATTTTCGCTGCTTCATAATCTTCGTGTGGTTGTAGTACGTACTACGTATTTAGTCATGCATTTTAATCATACGTATCTTATCCAAGTCAAATATTGATCGTATAGACGGTCTAAAACAAGTTTATACCTAATAAAAATGGAGGATTAACGGATAGGATAAGATATCACTAGAATAATCATAGAGGATTAACGAGTCTAATGTAAAACGTGTTTCAAAATTTTCCATGTAGAAATTTGATTCTTGTTTTCTTTGATAGTATATTAGTCATTACGCAAATATTTACTCCTATCTGATAAATTTACGTAAATTAATTTTTAAGGCCAATGCAAATAAAACATCTTTAACCTTTTAGTGTTTTAGCTATTTGTTTTAGCTTGACCACTAAAAAGGAGTTGAAAAGAAGATTATTTTGGGACACAAAAATTTTTAATTTGTAAGAAATTCATGAACATTATCACTTAATAAGTGGTGGAGTAAATAATACTGTAATTAGTCTTAGTTTGAAGATCATTATCTATAATTTATTATCATAATTTGTAAGAATGACTGCTAGCAAATCCGAATAGGGGAGAAAACATGATATCATGTTCAAAGGGAGAAAACATGTGATTAGGTAACATAACACACTAAATTTATGCACAAAATTATAATTAGTAGCATTACCCTACCACATAGTAGTAGTTAAGAGTTTGAATTAGGATTAATTTTAGAGACATTAAACTCTACAATTGGGTGATTAGGTAACTAATTTGATTTTATCCTAAGTAACTAGTCTACTTCAATTCATATACTACCAAAAAAAATAATTTCTATACAAGGACAAAATTGGAATTTAATTGTGACAAATACATCTAAGCCTAAAGTATATCTAGGAAAGCTTCTTAATTACACTAAACTAAAGGCAATTAAATTAAAGTCAATTTTCCATAAAATATGCCAACACATATCCTATAAAAACCCTTCTTACACTATAGCAAAGAGATTAAGATTCCTAAATTCAATTGCTATAATTTAACTCCATATACTTCTATGTCCTCCATTTCCACATTCAAATCTTAGCTTCCTTCCTCAACACCGCCTTCAGATACATTTGAGCTCGAATTACTGTATCGAAACTGCTGGTACAAACATAAAATCAGACTATATTTACAAACTTGTGGATGTATATAACATATGATAATGATTTTAATTGCTTAAATTTTCCTCTAGATAATAGTTCTATATGTGATGACACAGGAAAAGGAACTGATAGACAAGGATAAATGATGGTGAGATCACCTTGCTGCGATGAAAGTGGTCTAAAGAAGGGTCCTTGGACACCAGAGGAAGATAAGAAGCTAGTGGATTACATTGACAGACACGGTCATGGAAGTTGGCGAGCTCTCCCTAAACTGGCAGGCTTGAACCGCTGTGGTAAGAGCTGCAGGCTTCGCTGGACTAACTACCTTCGCCCTGATATCAAACGCGGAAAATTCACTGATGAAGAGGAGCAAACCATCATCAACCTTCACTCTGTGCTTGGCAACAAGTATGACCATTATTACACATGTTTTTTACTGTCAGCAGCAAATTTACTGCATTGTGTTTGTGTGTTACCTTTTAAAGTTCTAATGCATGTATGTGTATTGTTATCTGATGATTGCAGATGGTCAGCAATAGCAAGCCACCTTCCAGGGAGGACAGACAACGAAATAAAAAACTTCTGGAACACCCATCTGAAAAAGAAGCTTCTGCAGATGGGTATCGATCCTGTAACTCACAGGCCGAGGACAGACCTGAACCTGCTAGCTAACCTCCCTCAGTTGCTCATGGCTGCCAATCTCAGCAACAGTCTCATGATGAACAACAGTACAGGCAATGGAGTTCCTAATTTGGAAGATACTCTTAGGTTGATAGACTCTGATGCCACCCAACTCGCAAAATTCCACATACTAAACAATATGCTGCAGGTGTTAAGTTCAAGCAGCAGCAACCCACCTGCTATAGCTTCTCAGATTACAAGTCTGCTTTGTAATTCAACCATGCCCTTCCAAAACCCATTGAACGATAACCTACTTAGATTGGCTAATTCTCAGATGGAAAACGGACTCACAGGTGCTATCAGCAGTCAGTTCCCACCTTCAAATCCTTTAGCTTCCAGCAGCCTTGAAAGTCCAGCAACTCCTCAATTTCAACCAAATTTCAAGCATGGCCGCCACAGGAGTTATACTAGTAATGAATATCATGAAAGTAAACAAACTGGTGTTGAAATTCTTACACCCGACAGTTTAATGCCTAGTCTAGCGCCCGCCTCACCAGACCACTGCAGCAAGCTAATTAGCCAAAAGGGTAATGCAATAATGTCATCAAACCCTTCCTCAGCCACAACTACTGCAAATCCCTTTGAAGCAGCTGCTGCTGACTGGACCAATGATCTTATTGATGATGCTTCACACTCGTACTGGAGAGACATTATTGAGTAAGCCTCTATCTTTACCTTAGCTTTTGCAGATAACTTTTTCTTTCTTTTCTCCCTTGATTACGGCATGATTAGCTCCGTTCGTTGTTTATATATTATGTGATCATGCTGATATCTGTTCCCTATTTTCATCATTGGCAGCCAAGCATCCTCCCCTTCCTGGCCTATCTCATCATAGAGAATGTAAATTTTGGTCAAATATATCCAGAGATGAATAATTTTTACAAAAGAAGATTTTTAAATTAGTGTAATCTGTAGTGTTACATCCGGACAAAATATAATTGCTATCATATAAATGGAAGAAGACGCTTGTATAAAAGCTATGCCACTTCATTCCGACCTGTATGTTGTACTATCTGATTGCAGATTATAATATTGTTGAGATTAGCATTTTTTTGTTCTATAGTAAATCAAGCATTCACAGTGCATCATTACTAATGCAGCAGTGCCCATCAGATAACATGGAAACAGGTCCAAAACATATACTGAGTACTGACAATACTGTGGCCGGCTCGTGCATACACAAGGGCATGGATGGGCAAATATTGGCATATGCTAGATTGGGTGCATCATTTCTAGGTACTACCAAGCCGAGTGCATAAAATTGTTTGCAATAGGTCCATTTCAATCATCAAATAAGATTCATTAAAACAGAACATATTTTTGTTATAATAACCATAACCAATCTCCAATTGCTTGAAAATTAAATTTTTCCTCCCCAATTAAAATTTAAACAGAGAGGGCAATATTCCATATGAAAGTTACATTACCAAATGAGCATAAAGCGAGCCTCGAAAAATACTAGTTATATTCTGGACTAACTGACTGATAACTCCATATACCTTCTGAGTTCTTATTAAAGAGAAAAGTCAAAACAATTTGTTAACCATTAGGTAAGACTATTTTTCTTATGGTGTTACAGCAGCCAGCAAGAAAATGACTTTCCTAGGCATCCTTCTCTGTCCACTTCCAATTTATTTCTAGAATATGAAAAATAGTAATAAAGCTACATTTATATCATTAATGAAAAAGATACTACAAGCTAACTTTCAAGGTCCAATATCTTGACAAAGAAAGGCAAGTAATTACTCATATGCAAGCTATTTGATCATATTATAGCAGTAGGTACACTATTTCAGCGTTGACCCTGCTTAAGCAACCAACTTCTTACCTACTATTTCCAAGTAATCAGTCTGCATGATGATGCTCCAAATGTTAAGGACTTTACCAATGTACGTTACCAAGGTCGCATGAAGTTGGTACACATCAAATGTCGTAGATGCCTAGCACAATCCGAGTCCTGAAAATGCTGTCAAAAGAAAAGATGGGCTGATAAATTCAATTTACAATCAAAGCGTACGGATTATATATATTTATTTTATGGACTCCATCATTCACTAAAAAAGAGTGAAACATTTCATAAAAAAAAAATATTGATCTCTTATCAACAGATGATATGTTCACAGTATTCACAGCAAGAATTGAGAGAGGCAGTGTCACAAGAAGAAAGGATTAAGAAGAATGGCTAACAAATTTATTGCTGCTGATAGCAAGATAGCATTTTTCCAATGCTTATATATAAGCAAAAACATTGCTCGGTTACTGATAATAGGTAAGGGAAGTTATCAGCGGACAAAGCCTACACCCGCTTAAGACCCTTGCCTGTTATTACTTACAGGGCATCTGTTAGATGTTTGCTTCTCACATAACTAACAACAGGATCATAGTCTTTCACATGTGTTTCATGACGAAGAAAAAAATTAAGGTTCCATCCATTTTCAACAATAAACTATAACAAAAATCAGGCCATCAAGTTTGCTATCTGAGGTTAATCTGACTATAACTTTAATAGATGACTCTGACGACAATGAAATACAGAAGTTATCAATAAGTCTCTACAATTTAACAATAAAACAGAATAACAGGAAGTAACAGGATTCAGGAAACACATCAAAGCCAACCAATTGGTCTAATCACCATGGAAGTCATTAATGATCGTAGCTAGTATGTAATCAAAATCTCAAACAGAACACTTATCTTCAATGCTGCTGCATTGTCTAGGTTAGCAGCTAATAAGCTACATTCCATTTGACCTCCTCCAAAACCTATCTTATATTCACGGTAGGTAACAATCCCGAGTGAAATCATGATGTAAAAGAATTTAGGTGCTTCAGCAAGAAGGTTATGTTGCATCTCAGCTTCTTCAATGAAGTATATCAGTATTGTCAGAAGGAATGCTTGCAATTTGGGATATGACATGTGCCAATGCAATTTATCAAACTTCAAAACTAAGTATTACTCAGTACTCGAAACCACCCAATACTGAATTGAAAGTGCAATGGAAGAAACTGCCAACAGTCTGATGGCCATGTTTAGCAGAATTCTTGTTTAAACATTGCACCAAATCCTTCCAGCTAAAGTATTACACAAGAGGAATGACAAGAAAGTTTGTGCTAGTGTCCGATATTGATCAGTCTCACACACAAGAAGAGTAAGACTGCTAATTGTATGGAATTATAACATTCAACATAGACTTCCTAGAGGACAGTAAATCACGATATTGATCAATCTCACACACATAGATATTAGAACCGCGTCATGTATTGTATACTCGTACTAACATCAAACAAAAACTTGTTAAGAAAAGGGACAAAATGAGGACAAAAACACAATGCATTTCATTTATGTGATTAAGCAAAATTGAACAAGTAACATGCTAGACATTGGAATGCAGAACAATGTTACAGCATCATTTCATCATACAGCAGTACCATCTCAAGCCTTTTCGACACCAGACCGACTACTGCTAACAACATCCAAAAAGAAATCAGTCAACATAGCTTCAAACTCCGGCAACTTAGCATAACCCGGGAAATAATTAATATCAATGATCAAGTACTTAACACCACTCGATTCAGACCCGTCTCGAATCAGATCAAAATTAAACAGATTAAGCTGTGCACCCTCCCTCAACGCACTAGCCAATCCATTGACAAACTCCATTGGAGGCATAGCAACATTATCAACCAACTGCTGCTTTTCAGAAGTTGGCAAATTCGAAATCTGCGAAAACGGCATTACATCCTCAAAATGATCAACTGTTACATCAAAATCTGGAAGTGATTTCCTTTGAACACACCTAACATTCTTCCCAGCAACATAAACCTTAAACAAAACTCCCCCGTGATTAACAAACTCCTGAAGAACAATTGGGGTTTGATTCTTCAACTTCTTCAATCCATTCGAATTAAAAACCAGCGACATTTGATGAGATTTAATGCTTCCATTCGCAACCAATGGTTTCGCAATCACCGGAAATTTCAAACCCAGATTCTCAATCTCATCTTCATCCCTCAACAAAACCTGCTTCGGAATCCCCACACTCGGCACCATCGCCGCCGTCTCCTCCGTAGACGACGGAATAACAAGATTTTCGACGGCTTCAAGCATCGAAATCCGATCATGAAGACGCTGAATTGCGGTAGGAGAATCAATAATCGGAATACTAGGGTTCTTCGAAGCGAAATCAAGCAATTGATTACTCCAATCATCATCGTAAATCTTGTGAAGAACACAATCAAATGGACCTTGATGAATCAATGGTTGATTAACATCAATAGGGATGAAATCAACAGCATGGGATTTAGCGTAAGTTAGCAAAGATGGGTTTAAGATGCTGTCAACTTTCTTGGGTGGTAATGCGTATCCTACTGATATTCTTGTTGTATCTCCATTTTTATTCTCATTTTCTCTCTCTTCCGCCATTAGAGAGTTCTTTGATACTTTGTTGAGTTAATTAATGTTTAGAAGAATGGGTTTGTTTTGAAATTGTAATTTGAGAATGAATTTATCGAAGGAGTTGAGTGGAAGAAGGGGTAGGTGTGATTCGGGGTTTGAGGAGAATAGTGACAAGTGATGTTGGTGTGCTACTGACTTTTGGGGTCTGCGGTCCATTCCTTCCACGGCGAATGGTTACATGTCGGTCAAAATTTTCCCGCCGTCAGATTGCCTTTTCTCTTGGGGTACTAAATTACGTCCGGCATTTACCGGTAACGTCCGTATTTTTAAAAATACATACTAATATACCCTTCCTTAAATAACCCATCAAAACCTTTTGTTTTAACTTTTACCTTTCTCTCTCTTCACCCTTTTCACCCACCCTTTCTCTTTCACCCAAAATTCAACCCAATATCAACCACCACCACCGGTTACCACCATAATCAGCCACCAAGTTTTTTTTTTTTGTAAGAAACTTCAGCGTTGACGGTTCAAGGGTACGCAGATGGACAGAAATCAGAAAGGAAAAGGGATTGTCTCCGGCGAACAGGTTAGTGGTTTCGTTTTTTTTTTTTTTTTAATTTTCCGTCGACTCCAAGGAACGCCTGGAGATCTGGATTCTCTAGGCTAGAAACGCCCGGAAATTCTGGATCTCCGGCCGTAAGTTCGAAAATCCCAGACGAAACACGAACGCCTGGAATTTTCGAACATACGGCCGGAGATCCTAAAATTCCAGGCGTTCGTAGCCTAGAGATTCTAAATCTCTGGGCGTTTTATTTTTTTTAAAACTATTTTTCATATGTGGTTGTTTTTGTTATTGTTGTTGCTGTTATTATATTGCTGTTATTATTATATTGCTGTTGCTGTTATTATATTGTTGTTAAACTATTTTTCATATGTGGTTGTTTTTTTATATTATGTTGATTATTTTTAATTGCTTGTTATAAATTGTAGTTGTTATTATTTAATTGTAGTTGTTCTTGTAATAAGTTTTTAGACTTTTGGATGAGCAATATATGTGGTGCATTGTTGTTGCCTTAGTATCATTAGTAGCTAGACAAATTGAAGCTCAATTTAAGCTCTTATGATTAAAGTAAGCGATGGTATATCCCTTGGTACAAGATGTTTAGTTTACTAGTTGTTGATGATCAATCATAAATTGCCAAGGTCTTACATTTTTCCAATGGTAATTGTGAATTTCAACTTGGTAGGTTACTGCTCATGTAAGTGCTTTATTGTATCATAATCGAAAGCGTAAGCCCTAAGGTGAGTGTATTTGATTGTTATACTGAGTATTGGCCACTGGAAAGGAAGATTACTGCTCTCTTCAGCAAGTGGTTTTTCATCGTGCTTTTGAAAAAATCCAAAGCTTGCATACTCCTATTTCCGAGTGGTCCAATAATCCCAATTCCTTATAACTCATGTAGCTGGCTTGGGATCTCTTTACAGCGAGGCATAGAATTATCTCTAAGAAACAAAATGCCTATAAGATTTAGAGGGTATAAACTGATTTATCTCATTGGTGTACAAGTGTATAATCAATAGCTCAATATAGTTTAGAGAGAGTATATACTCATTGTAATAAGATGCCTTAATTGATACAAGTATTATGTTTGTGAATGTATTAGAGAATGTACACTCCCAACTCCCTCCATTCAAAATTATCTGATTACTTAACTTTCCTCGATCTATATGATCTGTCAAAAAAAAAAGAGCAATTATAGTTTTACTGATGGTCAAAATGAGCTATTAGAATTTAGAACAACTTCAGTTTATACAAAAAAATGTATAATTAGAAATATGCATTGTTAAATGTGACATGCCTCGATAGCTGAGGGTCAAGTTATAGTCCTGATTCTTTACTGAAAGTAGTTGATACCAATATAGCAAAGCTCTGTTTTTAGAGGCACATTACCTGATTCATGATACTTTTGCCTTAGTCCCATATTGTTTTGTGAACTTGCATTTTTTTGGAGTCCCAAAATAATTGCACACTCGACTTTTCAAGTAATAGTCTCTTGCTTCTCTACTAATATTCCAACCCCAATTCATCATCTTGTGCCAAAGACAAAGGTGCAAAATAATGTGGGATGCGGGAAGTAATTATTTTAGTCAACAGCAGTGTAAAAATGTCGAGTAGAAATAGAATAGATGGAATTTCAGATAGGGCGGAGGGGTTTGTGAATGTATTAGTGCGATGGTTCATGATATAGCATTGTAAAATTAAATCAGGCAGTTGATTCAATTTTGAAAGAGGGAGGAATGGATGCAATAAAATTGGAATGGATGCAATAAAATGTTGCCACAAGTGTTATTGTTGTTATTATTATTGTTGTTTTGATGTTATATATTATTATTATTTTTATTATTATTATTATTATTCTAATTATTATTATTAGTATAATTATTATTATTATGAACTAAAATTAGACTTATTTTAATTTCCTTTTGCAAAAAATTAAGATTGAGGGTTCGGGAACACGACACGCTGTATCACGGCGCTTGAACGCGTCAATTAGGAGGGAGAGAGACCGATATCGTTTTCAGCCTCGTACCGAGACGGGACTAGTCCCTAATGCTAATATGGCGAGTTCGACCTCCGCAGCACAGAGTCATCATTCAAGGTCTCAGAGGGATGGGTCGGGTTTCGAGTCTGACCAGGAGGAGGGTGAGTCACTAGGTCCCGAGTACTCGTACATAGGAGAACAGGGTTTATCGGGCGATGACGATGACGATGACGATGAGGAGGAGGCTGATGACATTATTCATACGAATAGGGGTGCTGATGGAAGATTTGTAAGTACTCAGGAGACTAGTCGTAGTCGGACTCTGATACAGGACAGCTGGTTAGTGAGTACGCCGATGGCCGGTGGTCCAGAGGATGGTAGCGTTATTCCTAGATATGGTGGTCATGTTGCAGCTGCAATTTGGGGTGGTATGGAGCGAGGTGTTTTGAGATGATTGAGTAGGAGAAAGATGTGCACTGCACTAGATCAGCTGCGACAGTCGTTATTACCAGAGACATTAGCCCCGATAGATCAGAGCGGGCTATTACATCTTCCTGGTATTATGTATCAGCACCTCGACTGGCCCTTGATTTCAGCATTCGTGGAGAGATGGCAGCCAGACACTAACAACTTTCATTTGTCGTTCGGTGAGATAACTATCATGTTACATGACGTGTATCATATCCTTGGGATCTCTGTAGATGGTACTATGGTTTCTACTGTTATGGACCCCCTACAGTTACGACAGTATTGTTCGTTCATGATGGATTTGCCTGTCGAGGAGCTACGTAAACCCACTTACGCGCCTAGTGGCGCGCTTTCTTCGAGGGTCCTCGAGACGACCTTCAATGTTGAGAGGCCCCTTGAGATCTACGTGGTGTCCTTTTTGTGGATTTTACTAGGTTCATCACTCTTTGTGGACAAGAGTGGTAATAGACTTCATCCCTCCATCATCCATGAGCTTCAGCCTGTCGAGGGTACATTTGTCACTAGTTCCTACTCATGGGGCTCTGCTACTTTAGCGTATTTGTACCGTCAGTTAGGGCAGGCCTCACGGGCAGATTGTGATTCCATCTCTGGTTGTCTCACGCTTCTTCAAGCGTGGATTTATGAGTATTTTCCATGCTTTCGCCCTCAGCAGGGCACTCTGACTAGGGAGCTTGGACGTCCACGTGCATTGTTATGGGATGTTGGTTCGCCACCGAAGAGCCCAGATCGACTTTATGCTTTTCGTGCTCGACTTGACGTGTTGATTGACATTGAGGTAAATATGAAATTTATTATTTAGTTGTGATTTGTATCGCGTTACTCTTATGTGACTAATTTATTGTTTGATTATGCAGGTAAACTGGCTGCCTTACGGACCTGACCCTGCCAGTGTTGTTCCTACGACGTTGTTCTCGGGATTTTTACGGTATCGCAACATCATTGAGCCATATATGCCTGATCGAGTTGTCAGACAGCTTGGGTTAGTACAAGGTATACATAGGTACCCTATTAGGCCCGAGAAGGCCAAGAGACCGAAGAAGGTTAAGATGTATAATATTGAGTTCCCGGCTGAGACGTCCATACACATGTGGGAGAGCTTTATTCCATTTGCTGCGTATTGTCTACCAGTGGCTCGCTACACTAGACTCAGTCGCGGCAGTCCTACATGCACGGACGATTACATTCCATGGTTGGTCCAGATACTCTCACCCTCGTGTGTCACCCCCTGACGTACCTCAGGGTCGCGGTCTTCCCGAGAGGACCAATACTGATTATGTAAGTACATTTTCCTTTAGCCGTGTATTTATTATCTAGTATTTCATTATTTGTATTGATTTTTTTAACATCTTATATTTTTTACAGTGGGTTGGACGCTTCGTTGATTTCACACAGCGTGCACTAGCTGAGTCGCATGGGCCCATGTCCCGTGAGACTAAGGCCATGGCTACACAGGCCCTTCGTGATTGGGATGTTATGCGTGGGTTATGATTTGAGTTACGCTAGACAATTTTATTCTTGGTTGAACAGTTTAATTGTTAGTTGAACACTTTTATTATTTTGTTTTTATGATTGTAATCGGACACTTTTAATATTTGTACGGACATTAGCACTTTACTTGTTAGTGTTTTTTTTATAATTATTTTTGGCATGCTAACTTATAATAATAATAATAATAATAATAATAATAATAATAATAATAATAATAATAATAATAATAATAATAATAATAATAATAATAATAATAATAAATAAATAACTAAAACAAAAAAAAAAATCAAAGTGCAAAAAAAAAAAAAATCATAAGTGCAGACAAAAAAATCAACGTATTACATCTATCAAGTTGCGACTAATCTTTCCCACAAACTAATTCTATGTTGGTATCGTTTCTCCCATCCAATAACGCTAGGTTCACGAGCCCGGTACCAAACATTTGCAATCGGGGGAATCGGGTGGTTTTGGTCAAGCTGCAAAAGTATAAAATGAGACCCACCAACAGTTGCTATAACAAACTCTCGAGTTGGTGCAGTACCATTGTCGGGGGCCCGCAACGGTAACACAGTGATGCACGGATAGTAGCTCGTTGGTGTCTGTCCAATGCCATAACAAATCACGGTTGCATTGTATAAGGTAGCAATTACGTACAAATCCTGAAAGGCTACCATCCAATGTCTTTCCCCACATGGGCCACCGCTCCAACGAATACGTTGTATCTCAAAATCCAAACCACCTGCCTCGTAATAAATCCTCCTGTATAAGTGCGGATAACCAGTAATCTCATTATCCATGAATTGTCGAGCTAACCTCCATTGCTCTTGATCACCCATGAAGAAGGCGGCAACACAACGAAAGCCGCAATTACCATCACCAATGACATCATTCCACCCGGTTATGTAAGGCAATATAGGTCCGGGAAGCAAGTGAGCGTACCTACATTGTTCGATGTTGAATCCATTTCCAAGTGAAAAAAATACACATTCGTAATGGGTAGAAAATAAATTAATATAAAATTCGTAATTGGTAGAAAAATATATATCAAAAAAATATATATATATATATACCGGATTCAGTTTGACGGTTTAGCCTTGAACTATGTTGGCTCGGCCTTCTCCCTCTACTACCGCTACTGTTACGCTCAACATTCTCAAAATGGCTACGGTTACGCCTAGTTGAATGATCCCGTGGACGACCCCGTGTTGAGTGATTCACTTCTGGCTCTTCAAGATCTGAATGATTCGGATGCATTTCATCTTCAATGATGCGAGAAACATTTCGAACTGTAACAGGGTCACTAGCCAAAACCTCGTCGACAAGTGAACGAAAATGTGCTGCTTCTTCTGCCGACTCGTCGACGAATTCCGGAATATCAACACCATCACCAATGACAAGGCTCTGCCAAAATGGATGAATTTGGCTGCAATACAACCCCTTCTTATCACGCATTGAATCATGAATCTGGCAAGCACATGGTATCCCATGGGTGATCCGTAGAGCACAACCGCAACGCTCATGCACCTCATAACTTAACCCTCTCATTCTTTGTATCTCATCGTAAAGAACAAACAAACAATGATGAGAAACCTTTTTATTCAGCCTCTGCAACGGCATGTGCCTGTACTTCTCACCTACTTTAGATCTACTAGCCTCTAAAGCGTTACGTATTCCAACAATCTGATTTCCAATCTGGCAATGTACTCGAGCCCATACCTTATCCAAAGAACCAGTTGATGATTCCATCCAACTCTTGACTGTCGAGTGCAGACTCTCAACCCTACATGTACAAACATTACCAAAGTGCAGAACTCTGTTCGTCCAACACGTCACAAATTTCTCTTTATGAGGGAGCCAGGTAGTCTCAACGTATTCCACAACTTTCGGATACCGAGCCAACTTGTTTTCAATCTCTGCAAGGCTAACTCATATTCCGGCTCAGATGTAACATTCATGACTCGATTCCATCTACCATTTTTGAACTTTGCACCCACCGTCTTGTCCTTGAACAATCCAGTCACATAAGCTTCGACGTCCTTATTAATGTGCCACCTACAGAGTAAATGCATAGTGTGGGGAAACTCAGCTTTCAATGCTGCACAAAGTCCAAGCTCACGGTCAGTTAAGAACACTGATGGCTCCCGTTGGTATCCGATCAAATCCCTCAATCTCTGAAGCACCCATCGATAACTAGCCTGTGTCTCGTTTCTCATGAAGACATATCCAATAAGAAAATTTTGATTTTTCGGTGTAACCCCAACTATCTCAAAGAATGGCATGCCGTATCTGTTTGTCTTGTATGTAGAGTCCATACCAATCACGTACGAATATGTGCGTAACAAGTTGCACATGATCGGATGCACCATGAATGTATGCTGTAAAACGCCGATGTCATCAACCATAACCCAGTAAATGTAGCGACTCTCTCTAGCCAAATGCAGAAATTGTTGAACCACTCCTCTTCCTTCAGACTCCTCCATTCTAATTTCACTTCTACAATTGTAGATATGCCTGATGTTTGGATGATCTTCAGGAAATTGCTCAATTATGGTTGCCATGATATTACGAGGCGCAACCTTTGACCTCGTTAAGTTACGCACAACCTGTTTTGCACCTGCACTAAGACCGCTGATTTGTCGATGACCTTCAAGATACACAATGAATGGATGATTATGGGTGCCGGTTACATCATTTTTAGCACGGATCCTCCAACCATCGGTGCTTCTCTCATAATAAATCTTGATGTAGAAGGACACCCAACGGACTTAGTTTTAGTGTCCTCGCGAATCACATTCTCCAAATCTCTTGGCCTTTTCTTTCGACTGCGATCGCAAGCCAAATATCAATACAGCCGACCATCAGTGGTTTTTTTTTGTACGACAATGAGACGAATTAAAATCCGGTTGTTCGCGAAATATCTTTCGCCCATTCAACAGCAGCATCAAAAGTACGAAACACAGTGTCGGTTTGAAAATGGCCACTGTAATTCACACCATCACTGCCATTTTCTAATTCTGAATCCTATAACCACAAAACAAACTACTTAAGAACCCATGAAATCATATAATAATAATGATATAATAATATTTAAATAACATAATAATAATAAAATCAAAACAGATAGGAAACGCCTGAAAAATTTGAATGTACCACGGAAGAAACGCCTAATATTTTAGAATCTTCCGTGGTACATTCTAAAATTTCAGGCGTTGCTACCATTGTTCGTCTAATAATTTAGTATGTCCCATGGATGAGACTATATTTCTAAGCGTTTCTTATATGAAGCCAGAGGAACGCCTGAAATTTAGAATCTACCGTGGAACATTCTAAAATACCAGGCGAACACAGGTAGGAATGCCTGAAATTTTAGAATGTTCCTAGGTAGATTCTAAAATATCAGGCGTTCCTCTGGCAATTACGAAAATATAAAAAAAAAAGTCTAAAAATTCACCGATTCCGTACGCACAGGTGACCTCTCCGACGGCGACTGTAATTCCGTAAACTCGTCCATTCACCCCTTGTGCAAATTGTTGTTGACAAAAGTTTTTTCTTTAAAAAAAAAAATTTCAAGTCCTGGATGGTGGATGGTGGATGGCGGCTGGTGGTGGTGGCTGTTTGGTGGCCGGTGGGGTGAAAATAAAATAGGGTAAATTTATAAGGGGTAGAAGTAAATTAGGGTAATAGTAAATTAGGGAAATTAAAAGGGGGCATGTTTGTAAGATCGTGTTAAAATACGGACGTTACCTGGTAAATACCGGACGCGATTTAGCAATTCACTTTCTTTTTTGAAATCGGAATTTTGTATTGGCAAAAGCTAACAAGCGCACTTGGGAAGCTGAATTAGTGATCGAATATCACTTGGAAACCTTAATTATCAATGTATGAAGTAACAAAATTCTGAAATAGCCATATAATTAAACCAAACTCATTATGTAGGCTTTATGGATTTATTGATAGGTACTCGTATGTTATGGTTCGGATTTTAGGATCAACTTTTATAACTTTAGGGGGCACCCCTAACATTTACTTCAATATAGAAAATATTCTCGAAATTGGCCTAGAAGCGTGGATTATAACTAGAGCTGTCAATTCGGGTAAACGGATCAGGTTTGGTCGGGTATGGATCGGGTAAGAGTGGGTTAGGTCAACTCGGGTCGGGTCAATTCGGATTAATTTCATAACCTATGCGGGTCGGGTTTGGGTTGGGTCATGCTTGAGTCGGGTCACGTCGGGTCATACTTCTTATCGGGTTTGGGTCGGGTTTAGGTCGGGTTAATAACAGGTCGGGTTACATTTGGGTCGGGTGAACAATAGGTCGGGTTTAATTCGGGTTTTCACGGGTTAAGGTAATTCTCGGGTTCGAGTCGGGTTCGGTTTAAGTCAATAATTTGCGGGTTAGAATCAGTTCGGGTCATTCTCGGATTTGAGTCGAGTTCGGTTCAAGTCAATAATTTGCGGGTTATAATCAGTTCGGGTCATTCTCGTGTTCAAGTCAGGTACTGTTCAAGTCAATAATTTGCGGGTTATAATCAGGTTGGGTCGTTTCCAAGTTGGGTCATTCTCGAATTCAAGTCGCGTTATGTTCAAGTCAATAATTTGCAAGTTACAATCAGGTCGGGTCATTTCCAAGTCAGGTCATGTTCGGGTTCAACTAACTATAAATAGATAATTATCATTTTTATCAAGCTAATTATTTCCTTTGACTATAATACATATGGCAAATGCTAGGGAACTATAGTCTAAAATTTAGGAAGGTAATTATCTCCTTTGACCATACAACAAATACTACCTCCGCTAACATTCTTGCAACTTTGGGGTATTATTTGAGTGAAAAAAATATTCCAAAGTTGCAAGTAAATGTTAACGGAGGTAGTATATACTATATTTAACTCTTAAATTTGAGGATGATGCTCCTTTCTTTTGCTAGCTTGGACCGACTAGGTCTCCTTAGACAAAATGCTTTGATCAACAATAATAAAGTGGTCTAAATTTCATTTAAGCTGATTTGAAATCGGGTCAGGAACAATTTGGGTTGAATTTAGGTCGGGTCAATAACAAGTCATGTTGATTTCGAGTCGGGTTAGTAAAAGATCGGGTTGAATTTTTAGGTCGATTAAGTAATAGGTCTGGTAAAATTCGGGTTGGGTCAGTAACAAGTCGGGTTGAATTTGGGACTGTTCAATAACAAGTCGGCGGGTTGATTTCGGGTCGGGTTTGTAACAGGTTGGGTTAAATTCGGGTCGGGTTAGGAAAGGGTCGGGATGAATTCAGGTCAGGTTAGTAAAAAGTCGATTTGAATTAAGGCCAGGTTAGTAACGAGTCGGGTTAAATTTGGGTTTTGACGGGTTAAAATGGGTTTAGGTCAATTTCGGCTCAAGTCGGGTTCGGTGCAAGTTAATTAAATTGGCCGTTGTAAACCAGTAAATCGGTGCAAGTTGTAAACCAATAAATAGGCCGTTTAAAAGCAAATCAGATGGTTCCATACACCCAATTGGAATTCCGGAGGGTATTAGGGACCATGGTAAACATTTCGGCACTTTTTATTTTCGGGCAAAAAAAAAGTCAAAAAATTCCAAAATTGAAGGCTAATATCCACGTTTTTTGAGAAATTTTGGAGGTTTCAGGGCCCGTTGTCGAAAAGTCTTGAAATTCTAAAGGATACATCTCGGTGTCATATAATGTCGTTTGGAACCATATATGATCATTATTTTGTTGTCATAAATGTTCGTGGTAGGCTTGAATTAAAGAAAGCGGTTCAAGTTGGAAACCGGTAAATTGGTCGTTTAAAGGTAAATTGGATATTTCCATCCACCCAATTGGACTCCCGGAGAGTATTAGGGACCATAGTAAACATTTCAGCACTTTTTATTTCCGGGCAAAAAAAAGTCAAAACATTTAAAAATTGAAGGCTAATATCCACGCTTTTTGAGAAATTTTGGAGGTTTCGGGGCCCAGTATAGAAAAATCTTGATACTTTAGGGGATACATCTCAGGGTCATATAATGCCGTTTGGAACCATGTATGATCGTTATATGTTGTCATAAATGTTTGTAGTAGGCTTAAATTCATGAAATCCGTGCAAGTTGTAAACCGATAAATTGGTCGTTTAAAGGCAAATTGGATGGTTCACCAACCCAGTTAGACTCCCGGAGGGTATTAGGGACCAGGGTTTACATTTCGGAAATTATTATTTGCAGGCGAAAAAAAGTAAAAAAATTCCAAAATTGAAGGCTATATCCACGTTTTTGTGAAATTTTAGAGGACTCGGGGTCCAATGTCAAAAAGTCTTGAAATTCTAGGGGATACATCTCGGGGTCATATAATGCCGTTTTGAACCCTATATGATCATTGTTTGTTGTCATAAATGTTCGTGGTAGGCTTGAGTTAATGAAATCGGTGCAAGTTACAAACCGGTAAATAGGTCGTTTAAAGGTAAATTGAATGGTTCCACCACCCAATTGGACTCTCGAAGGGTATTAGGGATCATGGTAAACATTTCGTCAATTATTATTTCTGAACGGAAAAAGTTTAAAAATTCCAAAATAAAAGGATAATATCCACGCTTTTGGAAAAATTTTAGAGGTTTCGGAGCCAGGTATCGAAAATCCTTGAGATTCTAGGGAATACATATCAAGGTCATATAATGTCAATTGGAAACATATAAGATCATTATTTGTTGTCATAAATGTTAGTGGTAGGCTCGTTAATGAAATCGGTGCAAGTTGTAAACCGGTAAATTGGCAATTAAAGGCAAATTAGATGGTTCCACCCACCCAATTGGACTACCGGGGGGTATTAGGGACCATGGTAAACATCTCAACAATTTTGATTTTCGGGCGAAAAAAGTCAAAAATTTACAAAATTGAAAGCTAATATCCACGCTTTTGAGAAATTTTGTAGGTTTCGGAGCCCAGTGTCGCAAAGTCTTGAGATTTTAGGGACTACATCTGGGGGTCATATAATGCTGTTTGCAACCATATATGATCATTATATGTTTTCATAAATGTTCGTGGTAAACTTGAGTTAATGAAATCGTCGCAAGTTGTAAACCGGTAAATAGACTGTTTAAAGGCAAATTGGTTGGTTCCACCCACACAATTAGACTCCTAAAGGTATTAGGGATCATGGTAAATATTTCGGCAATTTTTATTTCCAGGCGAAAAATAGTCAAAAAATTCAAAAATTGAAGGCTAATATCAACGTTTTTTTTAATAAATTTGAAGTATTTGGGGACCGATGTCTAAAAGTCTTGAAATTCTAGGGATTACATCTCGGGATCATATAATGTCGTTTGGAACCATATATGATCATTATTTATTTTCATAAATGTTAGTGATATGCTTGAATTAATGAAACCGGTGCAAGTTGTAAACCAGTAAATTCGTCGTTTAAAGGCAAATTGGATGGTTCCACCTACCTAATTGGATTCCCGGAGGATATTAGGGACCATGGTAAACATTTCGGCAATTTTTATTTATGGGCGTAAAAAAGCCAAAAAAATTCCAAAATTGAAGGTTAATCCACGCCATTTGAAAATTTTTGAAGTTTTCGCGGCTCAATTTCAATAAAAAAAAAAAGAGATTTTAGGGGATACTTCTAAGGGTCATATTATACCGTTTGGAACCATAAATGATCATTATATTCGTGGTAGACATGGGTTAATGAAATCGGTGCAAGTTATAAATTAGTAAATTAATATTGGTCGTTTAAAGGCAAATTGGATGGTTCCACCCAACCAATTGGACACCCGAAGGTTATTAGGGATCATGGTAAACATTTCGGCATTTTTTATTTTCGGGAGAAAAAAAGTCAAAAAATTCCAAAATTGAAGATTAATATCCACGCTTTTTCAAAAAAATTTGTAGGTTTCAGGGTCCGGTGTCTAAAAGACTTGAGATTTTAGGGGATAGATCTCGGGGTCATATAATTCCGTTTGGAACCATATATGATCATTATATGTTGTCATAAGTGTGTCGTGGTAGGCTTGATTTAATGAAATCGGTGCAAGTATTAACCCGTTAAATTGGCCGTTTAAAAGTAAATTGGTTGGTTACACCCACCCAATTGGACACTCGGAGGGTATTAGATACCATGGTAAATATTTCGGCAATTTTTAATTTTCGGGCGAAAAAAAGTAAAAAAATTCCAAAATTGAAGGCTAAGATCCACGTTTTTTCAGAAATTTTAGAGGTTTCGAGGCCCACTATCGAAAAGCCTTGAAATTTTAGGGGATACATCTCGGGGTCATATAATGTCGTTTGGAACCATTTATGATCATTATATATATGTTGTAATAAATGTTCGTGGTAAAATTCCAAAATTGGTGCAAGTTGTAAACCGGTAAATTAGTCATTTAAAGGAAAATTGGATGGTTCCACCCAGCCACTTGGACGTCCGGAGGGTATTAGGGGATTTAGGGACCATGGTAAACATTTCAGCTGTTTTTATTTCCGGATGAAAAAAGTCAAAAAATTCCAAAATTGAACGCTTTTTGAGAAATTTTGGAGATTTCGAGGCCCGATTTCGAAAAGCCTTGAAATTTAAGGAATACATCTCAGGGTCATATAATGTCGTTTGGAATCATATACAATCATTATATGTTGTCATAAATGTTCGTGGTAGGCTTGAGTTAATGAAATCGGCGCAAGTTGTAAAACGGTAAATTGGCTGTTTAAAGGAAAATTAGATGGTTCCACCCACCCAATCGGACGCCCGAAGTATATTAGAGAGCATGGTAAACATTTCGACAGTTTTTATTTTCGGGCGAAAAAGCTCAAAAAATTCCAAAATTGAAGGTTAAGATCCACGCTTTTTCAGAAATTTTAGAGGTTTCGAGGCCCAGTGTCGAAAAGCCTTGAAATTTTAGGGGATACATCTTGGGGTCATATAATGCCGCTTGGAACCATTAATGATCATTATATGTTGTAATAAATGTTCGTGGTAGGCTTAATTTAATAAAATCGGTGCAAGTTGTAAACCGGTAAATTGGTTGTTTTAAGGAAAATTGAATGGTTCCACCCATCCACTTGGATGTCCGTGGTAAACATTTCAGCTGTTTTTATTTCCGGGTGAAAAAAAGTCAAAAAAATTCCAAAATTGAACGCTTTTTGAGAAATTTTGGAGATTTCGAGGCCCGATGTCGAAAAGCCTTGAAAATTTAAGGAATACATCTCGGGGTCATATAATGTCGTTTGGAATCATATATAATCATTATATGTTGTCATAAATGTTCGTGGTAGGCTTGAGTTAACGAAATCGGCGCAAGTTATAAACTGGTAAATTGGCGTTTAAAGGAAAATTAGATGGTTCCACCCACCCAATTGGACTCCCGAAGAATATTAGAGACCATGGTAAATATTTCGGAAATTTTTATTTCCGGGCGAAAAAAAAAGTCAAAAAATTCCAAAATTGAAGGCTAAGATCTACGCTTTTTGAGAATTTTAGGAGTCTTCGGGACCCAATGTCGAAAAGTCTTGAAATTCTAGGGAATAAATTTCGGGGTCATATTATGTCGTTTGGAACCATATATGGTCATTATTTGTAGTCATAAATGTTCGTGGTAGGCTTGAATTATTTAAATCGGTGGAAAGTTGTAAACCGGTAAATTGGTCGTTTAAAGGCAAATTGGATGGTTCCACCCACCCAAATGGACTCCCGGAGGTTATTAGGGACCATGGTAAACATTTAGGCAATTTTAATATCGAGGCGTAAAAAAGTAAAAAAAATCCAAAATTGAAGGCTAATATTCACGATTTTTGAAAAATTTCGAATGTTTCGAGGCCCGGTATCGAAAAGCATTGAGATTTTAGGGGATATATCTCGGGGTCATATAATGCCGTTTGGAACTATATAAGATCATTATATGTTGTCATAAAGGTTCGTAGTATGCTTAAGTTAATTAAATCGTGCAAGTTGTAAATCGGTAAATTGGCCTTTTAAAGGCAAATAGGATTGTTCCACCCACCCAATTGGACTCCCGGAGAGTATTAGGGACCAAGGTAAACATATCGGAAATTTTTATTTCCGGGTGAAGAAAAGGAAAAAAAAAAAAATTCAAAAATTAAAGGCTGATATCCTTGCTTTTTGAGAAATTTTAGAGGTTTGGGGGCCCGGTGTCGAAAAGCCTTTAGATTTTAGGGATACATCTCGGGGTCATATAATGCCGTTGGAACTATATATAATCATTATATGTTGTTATAAATGTGTTGTGGTAGTCTTGAGTGAATAAAATCGGCGCAAGTTGTTAAGCGGTAAATTGGTCGTGTAAAGGCAAATTGGATGGTTCCACCCAGCCAATTGGACTCTCGGAGGGTATTAGAGACCATGGTAAACATTTCTACAATTTTTTTTTCCCGGGTAAAAATAAGTCAAAAATTCCAAAATTGAAGGCTAATATCCACGCTTTTTGAGAAATTTTGGAGGTTTCGGGTAGAGCTGTCAATTCGAGTAAACGGGTCGGGTTTAGGTCGGGTCAATTCGGATTAATTCCATAACCTATGCTGGCCGGTTTTGTTGGGCCATGCTTGAGTCGGGTCACGTCGGGTCATACTACTTATCGGGGTTTGGGTCGGGTTTAGGTCGGGTTACATTCGGGTCGGGTGAACAATAGGTCGGGTTTAATTCGGGTTTTCACAGATTAAAACGGGTTAGGGTAACTCTCGGGTTTGAGTTGGGTTTGGTTTAAGTCAATAATTTGTGGGTTAGAATCAGTTCGGGTCATTCTTGGGTTTGAGTCGGGTTCGGTTCAAGTCAATAATTTGCGGGTTATAATCTGGTCGGGTCATTTTCAAGTCGGGTCAATCTCGGGTTCAAGTCAGGTTCGGTTCAAGTCAATAATTTGCGGGTTATAATCAGGTTAGGTTGGGCCGTTTCCAATTTGTGGGTTAGAATCAGTTCGGGTCATTCTTGGGTTTGAGTCGGGTTCGGTTCAAGTCAATAATTTGCGGGTTATAATCTGGTCGGGTCATTTTCAAGTCGGGTCAATCTCGGGTTCAAGTCAGGTTCGGTTCAAGTCAATAATTTGCGGGTTATAATCAGGTTGGGCCGTTTCCAAGTTGGTTCATTCTCGGATTCAAGTCAGGTTATGTTCAAGTCAATAATTTGCATATTACAATCAGGTCGGGTCATTTCCAAATCAAGTCATATTCGGGTTCAACTAACTATAAATAGATATTTATCATTTTTATCAAGCTAATTATTTCCTTTGACTATAATACATATGGAAAAATACTAGTAAACTATAGTCTATAATTTAGGAAGATAATAATCTCCTTTGACCATACAACAAATATATACTATATTTAACTCTTAAATTTGAGGATGATGCTCCTTTCTTTTGCTGGCTTGGACCGACTTGGTCTCCCTAGACAAGATGATTTGATCAACAATAATAAGGTGGTCTAAATTGCATTTACGGTGATTTAAAATCGGGTCAGGAACAATTTGGGTTGAATTTAGGTCGGGTCAATAACAAGTCGTGTTGATTTCGAGTCGGGTTAGTAACAGATCGGGTTAAAATTTTGGGTCGGGTAAGTAATAGGTCTGGTAAAATTTGGGTCGGGTCAATAATAAGTCGGGTTGAATTTGGGTCTGGTTAATAACAAGCCGGGTTGATTTCAGGTCGGGTTTGTAACAGGTTGGGTTAAATTTGGATCAGGTTAGGAACATGCCGGTTGAATTCAGGTCAGGTTAGTAACAAATCAGGTCAAATTGGAGCTGAACTGAATAGAGCTGAAATGAATATTTTATAAGAGAAAAAAATTAAGAGCTGAACTAAATTGAACTGAACTAATTGAAGTTGAATTAAAGTAAAATTAAGCTGAAGTTAACATATCCTTGGTGATATTTACTACAGAGTACAAACTAGAGTTGATCAAATTGGGCCAGGCCAATGCTGAATATAATTTTTTTGGACGGGCCGTGGACAAGGATTTTTGATCTGAATCTTGGCCCGGCTTAAGTAACGAGTTGATTTTTTAACCTCTCCCAATGATCAGCTCTAGTACACCGGCGATTAACTATTGGCGTCGCCGGAAAACGGAAGTTAAACCAGAAAATAATGAAGAAGAAGACGATATTATCACTGAACCGCAACTTCCGGCAAGTTTTTCTCTTACTCTATCAATCTTCTTCTGTTTTTCTTTCATCTTTTCAAATTTTTTTCTGGGGTTTTCTCTGTTTCTACTAACATTTGACCAGGTACTTGTTTTCTCCGGAAGCTCCACCACCAATTGGCTTGCATCACAGGATTTACCATGTAAATTTCCCCTTTTTTTAGTATTACTCTATTGACTTTTTGATTTGCCATTTTGTTATTACAAATTGGGATGAAAAGGGAAGTTATACCCGAAATTTTGATACTTCTTGTATGTATGTTAGATTAATTTGTGAAAATTTTATGTGTTTTTGGCCAATATGAAGTGTCGTAGTGTCCACATCTATGTTATAGTGTCGAGGATTTGACATGAGTACTTGAGACGAAATGAAGTATATATGGAGTATGGATTTTGGGACAATGGGTGGAAGTTGGCACCACCCTCTAAGCTCTATGGGTGGATTATGTTAGGCTTTTGGGAACTGGTCTTTCTTCTGTTACAAATATCTAAAATTTTACTCAAAATACCTCATAATCAACCAAATGATCACTAATTTTTCAAGGTTGTAAAAAAGTTTTGGTAGGTTTGTAGGTCAGCTTTACTCCCTTGGCTCTTTATGCCACTGTAATTGGAGGAATTAGTAGAATTGCAATCAAAGTCTGTGACTTGGGATAAACTGCTAACAAAGAATGGAGCTCCCACAAAACAATCAAGGTCATGAATGTATATTTGTTCAGGTAGTGAATGATTAATACATCGGATTACAATTACCAGTAGGATACTTGGTTTTATTTATCGAAGTTTATCTATCTTAAGAGGAGGCAATCACACGACTTTAATTTGCACATATTGACTATGTTTGTCATAATTGTAAGAAGCGTTGGGGTTGTGTTACTTTAGATACATATCCTTTATTTCTGACCATGTTGTTTGCTCTTGTGCACCCTGCAATGTTTGGTTTACCCCATTTTTTTTCATTCATTCGCTGAAGGGAGACCCTGGAGCTTCATATGGCCTGCAGTCAGCTTTGGCTGCTAGAGGTGTAATTGTGGAAGACAAGTTTTTTCTGAACTTGAATACATCTGAACTAACGCAGAAAGGTGCAACCGTTACAGGTATCAAATTGTTGCCCTTATTTTCCTTCCCCAGTTCTTTAGCATAATAGCTCAGAAGCTTCTGCTTTCATTTAATCTTTGCAGAGTCTCTATCAGGGCTCCCGATTCATGTCAGGGGAACTGTGACTGGAGAATGTTCAGAAATTTCAAAGGCACAGTTCAGTAAATTGCTGAAACAGGCATGTGTGAATCTTTTACGGCTAACTGGATTTTCTCTCACTTTTATTGCGATTATGAATTATATTATCATCACATTGTTTAAATGAAATATCCAACTTAGAATGTTAAGTGGATGGCAATTGTCAGGTTTTGATTTTAGTCTTTTGTTTGTTGAAATGAGATTTAGGTCACTAGTCATTTGTCATCAATCTCAAACATTTTTATTCATGATGGAGCTGTTGGATCATCATCAAGGTGTTCTGCAAAAGTCCGTGTGATAAGTGATAGTCCATCAGCTATACTCTCCCTTTCGAATATTCTTTGGAATGCCACAACTCGTGCAGTTTCACATGATACCTGTCCTGTAACAACTTATGTTGCTTCCTCTATAAGGTGTGTTGATATAGACTTAGTCAGAGCATTCCACGTGGAATTTATGAATTGGTCTACTGATGTTGTGATGTATAACTGTGGAATATATGTGAATGAATGCCTGTAGTTTGAGGGATTATTTTCTGTTAATAAAAAAAAACTGAATTTGACAATAAGGGCAGTTCTACGCTTCTACCTAGTTTCCCTCCATTAGTTTTGATGTAATGAGTTTCCTAAACTGTTCAATTCTTACTCTTGTCTCTGCAGTACTGAAGCAATAGAGAGCGCAACTGGGCTTCATTCTAAAGGAAGTGTGGGGTTTCTAGCTGCTGATACTGAGCGTTCTTCTCTTATTTTATGTGGTAAAGCATTTGCTGATGCAAATGGAGTCAAACAAAGTTTGGCAGCTTTATCAGAACCTATATTAGCAGCTCGAGGAGGCATCCCACTGGCAGCTCGGTAAACTGTTCTGCTTCCATTGGCTTTCAAAGTGTTTGAAATGTATGTTTTGTGATTGCTGAAGTTTATACTAATACAGGATTCTGGAGCTGGGAGAATTAGTAGTACTCTTGTTTGCACCAGAAGACATTATTCAGAGCTCTTCAAATCTGTTAGTGTCTGCAGATCCAGGTGTTATTCTTGCTCCTCAAGGTGTTGCACCCTTTTTTCGAGCCAAAAATTCCAACACTGACTCACCAAGCTTGTACAAATTGCCTGCTGCTATTATCCTTGCATGTTCTGATAGGTAAAGAAATCGTTTTAGTGCTGCTGTGTTTCTGTTACGTTTCATGGCTACATGTTCCTTCCATATTCTTATCGTTTAACTAAAAAAATTCTAGCTGATACAACAAACTAGTTCATAGAAAATAGTCGAGTGTCTTTGCCCCAACAGAGTGTGTAATTGACATATTGACCGTTTAGATTCCTCCAATGCCCCAAGTGCGCTATTCTCATTGGTAAAGAGTGTTCATGTCCCTGATATTGCTTATGGCCTTGTGTAGTTGTGTGATGTCAAAGTCAGTCTCTGTACAACAGCTGAGTTTGTTCTGTTAACTCATAGGCTACAGCCTACAGGCTTTGTTGTAGTAGAGGAATTAAATCCATAGACTTTCTTCTGTGGTACTTATCACAGATATTGCCTTCTCCATATCGTCGTTGAAAACAACATCCAAAATCTTCTTATGAATAGACTTTTTTTGGATGCCTTTTCCTTTTGTAATCAGCTCCAGAGTCCTTCCTGCTATTTCAAAGCTTTCTCCAGGTCAAGCTGCTTTTCACTTCCTAGCTGGATATCAGAATGGCAAGTACATTCCTGCATTTAATTCAGGCCCGTCATGTATTGATCCCTTGGAGCTATCAAAGGCTCTTTTTGCCAAGGTTTAAGAATTTCCTTTGTATAAATTCAATATTTTTAGAAGCTTGATGCAACTCATATTGCTATTGTTGCCATATACTATCTTCTGATATTATTGCGGGGTTATGCCTTCGCAGATGAAGGAAATTACGATAACTCCTTTATTGATAAATACCAATGATGGAGAAAAGTGTATAGCTGGTAAGGAAAGCAGGCGGCTTTAAGCAGATGATTTTACAGTTTCTAAATGTTCTCTGAGCTTATTCCAAAATGTTGTCAGGGGAAGATCTTGTGGAACTTGTTCGGTCAAATCTTTCGAAGGACATATCATTCTTCCAACCTAAAGGTAACATGAACAAGCTTCTGTCTTATGTATGAAGATATTAGAATAGATAAAGACTCGTGACTTACTCAATTTCTTTGATCATATTACCTCTGTGAGCAGGTAAAAACCTGAAACAAGGCTTCAAGAAGTATCTGTTGGGAAAATATCAAGAACTACCCGAGGAATTCTCATTTTGACATCCTTGTGAATTCCGGAATCTCCTATATGTACATAAGAGGGTAGTGACACGATCACAATCTCATTCAGAGCAAAGATCAATGCTGAGGTAGCGAAAAACAAGAAATCAGGCTTATAATTTGAGCTACTGGATACACAACTGGATGCTTTGCTAGGCGTCACTTGTTTCTCAAATGAGTGAGGCCAGCACATCAAATTATGTGGAATCACTCAATCACAGTCCACATACAATGGCATTGTTTTGAAGTCTGTGGCATATATAGCAGTAAAGGTTTTAACTGACCAGATAGGAGTATCTCGAGTCCACACATACCGTGCTGGATTTATTCATCTGGCTCTCATGAGATCAAAGTTAGCTTCTGAGCTTGCTTAAGTTGGTATGATCCTATTACAACGACAGGTTTGAGTTTTGCGATCCAACACCCCTATTGATGCTTGTAAAATAAGGTGAACTACACATTGGCCATGTTTGGTAATTGGCTTTTTAATGACTTTTTGGTTAGCTTTTGGCTTTTGGCTTTTTTAGGTGGTCAAACAACCAACAAATGTGTTTGGTAATTGACTTTTTAGTCAACGAAAAAGCTGGCTTTTAAGCCAAAATGAAAAAGCTGCTTTGAGTAGCTTTTTTGTTGGCTTTTGGCTTGTTGGCCCACAAATTATCTAATAAACAGCCAAAAACCAACAATTAATTTACCAAACACTTTTATAAACAGCCAGCTTAAACAGCCAATTTCAAAAGCCACTATAAACAGCCAAACATTTGGTCAAACAAGCCAAGTGAACCATCCAACAGCCAACCGTCAACAGCCATTTGCCAAACAAGCCAAGTGAACCATCCAACATCCAACCGCCAACAGCCATTTGTCAAACAAGGCCATTACCTTAAAGTGTTAAACGAATTATGTACTACTTACACATAACAATTTCGAGTATTTTTTTTTTTCTAATACTCCGTATTATTCGATTTAGGTGAGCCTGATAAATTTATGCAGAAATTCAGGTTAATTATTGATGAAAGGTCATAAATAATCTTGTACACTTTACCTCAAAAACATCAGAACTTTTGCTGTATTCCTGTCCTCGCTATTTCAATTAATTCAATGTACTGTAGTTTAGTTGTCAATTTTACTAGAAGTGGTATAAATTTGGACATAAAATTAGGTCTATTTTCTTGCAATAATAAATTATATGGACTACTTATTTTATGATTACTTATTACTCTTCTCTTTTATTTTCGTATACAATTTGAGCACTTGTACTATGTTCAATTGTTGAGTGTTCTTCATTTCCTCTAGTTTTTGTTCCATTTTCACACGTAATTTTGACATCCTATTCTTTTTCTCCCATTTTTAATTCTATTTTTGTTGTTTACCTGTTCCCTAATTATGGAGTTTCATATTGATAACTTGGGTTTATAAATATACAAGACTATATCACATTGATATAAATGTATATTGACTATTTCAAGTCATCAATTACACCTACTTCCTCTTTTTTTTTTTTTTTTTTTTCCTCGTATTTTTATGATATGTATTTTACAGAATTAATAATAAAAAAAAGGTAAATATTCATAGATACATGTATTGAAATAACTTGAACACCTTTCTGTTCAATCTTTTACTCTTCACCTCGTTGAAATATACTTTTTAAGAAAACATCTTGCGATAATTAAAAAATAATAATAAATGAAGTAATGTATACTAAATTTCTAAGATACGGAGTAGTTTTAAGAAATGCAAATTTAATAACTTTTATATTAGGAAAATCAAGTGTGACCGACTATATAGAAACGGAGATAGTAAGCCATCAAATAATTAGCCGAAATGCTAAAGTTTTTTCTTGTCCACAAAACTTGAAAATAATTCTGGATTAATGCTCTAATTCGTGGCAGAAAATTAGCAAAGAACTATTTGATTCCACGAGTCATGAAATTGTTGGTTTAATTTTATTTCGTAATAAATATTAATGAGAGATTTATTTAAATAAATAAAGAGTAATCAATTAAATGGGTCAAGAGTATGTGTTTCTCGTCATTTCCCGCTTCCTACTAACTACCATTCCCCCAACTAATCTGAAATTTCAAACTAGTGAAATACCAAAACTACCCCTGAAGTATATATATTTAGGCAGACATCAGCCTGTTTGAAATGTTGGTGTTAGGCTGTTAGCTAATCTATCAACCAAATTCTCCTACTCTTTTCTCTCCCTACCTATTAGTAATTCCCTAAAATGCCCCCACAAGAAGCGGGCGGAGGCGGTGGTGGTGGCGGCGACAACGGAATGAAGCATCAGCACCCAAATTCAGCATCAGTAATTTCAAGGGAACAAAAGACAGTTTGTGTAATGGATGCTTCAGGGTCACTTGGGTCTGAACTTGTTAAAACTCTCTTGCAAAGAGGTTACTTTGTTCATGCTGCTCTTCAATCTCATTCCAAAGGTTTCATTCATTCTCATCATTTTTAATTTTCTCTATATTTTTGTTCTTGGTTTGATTTCCTCGCATCAATCTGCTAAACTGATAAAGTCTCGAAGATGGTACTCAAAAGTCCGAGATAGTCCTATTAATTAAAAGAATAATTGTTGTTAACGTGACAACACTTGTAGCTCTCTCTATACACTAACACAAGATTTGTAACTAAAATCTTTATAATAATGTATTTAATAATTTTATTTTAACTTGATAATCAAGATGCTGTTTTTCATAAGTGAAATTCGAGGAATATAATATAATATGCCAAAATATCTGTGAAACGTGATCAACAGTCATATTATGTCTTTTCATGTTGGAATTTGATTCTTTCCTCTCTTTAATTTTGGAGTAATCAATATTGTTTTTATTGTTCAGTGTCTTAATCCCAATTTCCAATTTCTCATCCCCCACCAAAGAAAGTGAATTATAATAATTAATGGCATATTTTAATTTATTTATATATTACATCTAATCAAATAATAATGAGAATTGAGAAATATCTGGAATTTTAAAAAACTAGAGTACAGGTTTTTGTCTAACACCTTCATGGTAGTCCGTATGTCCAGTTGTAATTTTACATTATCTCACGTTTTTGTACAAATTTGGAAACTAATCACGTTTGATAAATTATTATTGTTGAACACTCCACTTCGTATCATTGAAATCTATTTTCAAATACGTATATGTATAATGGAAATAGTCTTATTACTCTTATGCTCCCTCTGTCCTTTAATTAGATTCCAACTTCTCGTTATTACGTGAGGAATAAATGCTAAATATAGGAATCTAATTAAGGGACGGATGAAGTATTTTGCAAAAGTATTTTTTTTTTTTTGGCTCAACTTACTCGTACTAAACTCGGTTTATTTTTGTTGAACTAGTCTAGTCTTTCATGTTGAAACTTAATTTATTTATGCTATATTCAACATTTCAACTTACTCAACTCTTGTGTACTCCGTACTATACTCGTACTACTTTTTGTTTATTATTATAAGTATTTTGGTAGGTAATAAAAAAGACATGTACTCCGTATTAAGGACTTAGTATCTTGGCATAGGGTGGTCTCAAATTCTCAATAGCCTCTCATCTTAGGAAGAGCCTTGACCCCTTCAAGGGTATGATATTTTATATAAAAAAATGGTATACCCAAAGTGCCCTTCGCGGGAGTTGAATTTGTTGCCAAGCCACAACTTCTTGGCAACAAATTCGGCTTTTCAGTTCTCACCACTGGACCAAGACTAATTAAGTACACTAAAATACTGTTATTAAGCCTCTTAAATTTGTTAATTTTAATTTCTCAAAAAAAAAAGAAAAAAAAATTGTTAATTATAAAAGCTATATTTTACAGGGAAGTTGCAAAGTATGAAAGTGCAATGTACTGGGGATGAAAAACAAAACCTGAAGATCTTTCATGCTGATCTATTGGATTATCACAGTATCCTTGACACTCTTAGTGGCTGCTCTGCATTGTTCTACATATTCGAGCCTCGGATTGAGCATCCTATTTATGATGTACGCCGCTTGCTGATGCCTACTACACAGTAATTACTTGCTTTCAGGAAGTAAGATTGTGTTTGACAGCATTTGGATTGGCAAATTGCAGGAATATATGGCAGACATAGAAGTGAGAGCAGCACATAATGTTCTGGAAGCATGTGCCCAGACACCCACCATAGATAAGGTCATCTTTACTTCTTCTGCCACAGCTGTTGTGTGGACAGATACCCGTGATGGTGCATCATTGTCTTGTGATGTCGATGAAAAGAGTTGGAGCGATATCAACTTCTGTAAGAAATTCAAAGGTACTCACACAGGCTAGCAGTGTTTCTGCTTCTCATCAAGGCTAATTTCTAATCTGTTCTTAAAGTTCAAGAACGTTGCAGCAAGAAATATGATCAACTGATTCCAATTTAACATGAATAAACTGTAACAGCTTTGGCATGCATTGTCAAAAACACTAGCAGAGAAGACAGCGTGGGCACTTGCAATGGACAGAGGAGTGAGCATGGTGTCGGCTAATGGAGGGCTGTTGTTGGATAATAACTTGCGTAAAACTTCTGCTACTCATCCTGCTGCACATAATAGCAAACAGAGTTTTCCGTCATATCTAAAAGGTGCAGCTGAGATGTACGAAAATGGAGTTCTTGTGGCTGTAGATCTCTGGTTTTTGGTAGATGCCCATATTTGCATCTTTGAAGAAATCTCATCATACGGACGTTATTTGTGCTTCAATCATGTCATCAACTGCCACAAAGATGCTGTGAAGCTTGCCTCCATGTTTATGTCCTCTCCCCCTCAAAGGTAATTACACTAGCATTAGAAACAAGTGTACTCTAAATCATACCATAATAATACGACTTTCCTCTCTGCCAACCTATGACTGCCTTTCTTTAGTATTCCTATTTTCTGATGACATAGAAGAGTAAAAGAGCTATTACCTCATATATTAATCTTAAGCTTAATTATGTGCAGCTCAGAGGATACAAGAGTATACCCGCAACGGATAAGCAACAAGAAACTCAACGAGTTGATGGTGAATTTTGATGGTCAATTCCAGCAGCACTAGTAAGACGACACTGTCCAAACTGAATGGAGTTCATGTACATATGGCCTCATTCTTTGTTCAGCAACAGAATATGATTGAAAGCTTGTAACTAAATGAAAATTCATTATTTTTCATCTACTTGATGTAATTTTGAAGATTAAATGCACAAATAACTTCAGCAATGAAAATCAATATCAAAATCCTCTCCCAACTATTCTCTTCTATGGTTGGTTTATTTGGTATACACCATTTTCTTGATATCTTGTAATTAAAATAGAATAAAGTATGTGAAGAGACTCGTGCACTGGCCGAAACTACCTAAACCTATAACTAGAGCAGATCATTCATGGAGGGAAGAATCCATCGATCAGCAAGTCAGAAACAACTATCCAGCATGAACCTTAACTCACATTTATCTAAACTTAAGGAGAGCCATTTACCATATGACGATTTATTTATCTATTTGCAGCTCGAGTTCAAATCAAGATTTGTACTGCACCCATACAGTAGTTTTTGCAAACTATCACTAGTTTTAACCTATTAAGAAGAACCTAAGGCTCAAATGCTCAATGGTTCAAGGAGAACAGAGAGACCTCTAGCAAACAATGAACAGCTTTTCTAGTATAAAGTGTACACAGAAGATTGATAAGAAGGTAAGTGCTAAAGAGTAAAGATTGTTCTTTCTTGAGCCTTTAAGGGTGATAGTCACTACAAATTCGCCTGTATTCTTGCCCGCAATAAATATTGACCCATAAGAACAATCTTGTAATGGTTAACATTCCAAACCCATACCAAATCAAAATCGGTTGGTTACTGCTCTACCACCAACAGCAAGGGGATATTCAAATAATATTAACATTTTTTAAATAATTGCAAACAAAGAGACCAGCTTCAGAGAATTAAGCAGAAAATCGACTAAAATAAGTACAGAGTAGCATAAAGGAAATACAGAATTATTACGTTGATTTCTCGACCTTTTTCTGTGATTAAGTACATTGGACAACTCATCAGGTTATAACCTAACTGGAAAGATCTATAGTATACCAATTGAAATTCAACATTGAATATTCATATTATACAATGATAACAGTCATTGGCATAGGATAATACAGTTAAGACAAACCTAAATACCTCTCAAGTTACCAAGTTACCTCTAATTGAGAGCAATGTACTGTCCTTAGGCACTAAGTGTCAGAGAAGTGATAGCGGATAACTTGAACTTCTTGACTTTCTTGGCATTCTGAGGCTGGAATACAACTTCAGTACTTGACCTGACAGTCACCTCCTTCCACTCAGAAGATGAAGAGGCTTCAGTTCGATAATCGCGAAAACAGTACAAAACTTGAAGCCTTGTTGGAGCTGCAATAAAAAAAATGAAACCTATGAAATGGAAGCAGCCAAGATGAACCCAAAGAAAATTCTAGTGGTATAACTCAGAAGAAGCAATCAAGAATCATCGCAACAGGACAGCTCAAAAATTTACACACAAGAATATCGTTCATAAATATCACACATACCAACTTAACTTTAATGCTTTTTCTCCTAGCTTTTTAGTAACGTGTATAATCACAATGTGAAGGACTGAAGGGGAACCTCAGTAAGTCCAGTGATGTAAACTTTGCACACTATATACATGAACAAGTAGCAGTACATAACATAGAGAAGAGCCGACAAATTTTGTCTTTCATATTCAAGCCACTCATTTTTTTTTTTTTCTGCACAGGACCTCCTTTACACTGCAGCTAACCAGTATACATTAGCATTTTAGCACACCCCTACCCACAAAATGAGCCTGGGTAGCCAAGCTTCAGGCACCATGACAAAGCTTTCACTTTGTTTCTTTTCCTGTTTTTTTTTTTTTTTTTTTTTTTTTTTTTTTTGGAATGTGCCATAGTTGCCCCTATAACTAATGCTTAAGCAATCAGGCTCAACCAAACCCAATTCTATATATGGTAGAACTGAAATTAATCTAAGACCATACTCAGCTTGGCAGCCTGGAAGCTCACACTCAGGCACTCAGCTAGTCAAATTAGCCTTATGCAGTTATGCCTCTAGCATAAAGCCAAAAGAATTGTAATACACCAACTTTCAGATTATAAATTCACTGGCAAACCCTCTTTTAAAACATTTTCTCCTTAATTTATCTTTTTATCTTTGCTTTAAAGTGGGCAACTTCATATGAATAACCTTGCATGCAATCCTTGGCGCCTTGTGTTTTATACAAAAGATGATATACAAGTGAAGAAACATTTTTGGATGAATGACTGAGCCATGGTAAAAGCAGAAAACTTACCAAAGCCAAACATTGACGTTTTCTGTACAATCATCTGGCCAACTTTTGACCTCTTGATATATTGCAATTCTTGAATATCTTCATTCTTGCCTTTGAACTCCAGAAATTCTCCTAACACATATTTGCTGGCTTTGAGCTCCAGCCTATGCAGCAAAAATAAAAATAAACAAAACAATTAATTTTACATGATTTGTGCAGCTGGAACATTTTATGTTCAAGTACTTGGCCAATTGCGGGCCAATGGAAGCCCCTGTGACAACATTCTCAATTGTCAGTTTTTTTTTTAAAAAAAAAGTGCTAATAATATGCAAAGGATCAAACTCCGTGTTTGGATACATTTCTACAACTTAGTATAAAAACTGGAGGTACAAATGTACACAGCTCTATACCTAACTAGTAAAATTCTGCACTACAGGAAAAATGCATACCCCAACAAACACACATAAACACCCAACCACAAGTCCACAACGTCAAAGTAAAACCTACACAAGCGAACTCATTGAGAGCTGATGCACATTTTCACCAAGTTGCAAAAACAATGGTTGGAAGAAATTCAGAAAACCAATTGAGACACCATTACACCAAAACATTTTGATTTTTAAACAAACAGACAGACAACATAAACTTTTTGGAGTACCATTGGCATTCTTTGTGTGTAACAATGGGCTCAAGGAGTCAATGAGAATTACTGAATTAGAGAAGTCAAACCTTAAACAAGTGAGATATGAACACCTTAAATAAACGCCAAAGCCCTAGAATTTCACTCACACGCATCCCGCTCATCATGAGAGCCAAAATATAATTGCAGAAAATTTTAATCACAGACAAATATATTTCTACCTCCTGTGAATCTGTGATGGTAAAATCAAGAAAACATATAGCATACACCATACTTGTGCTTCACATTTTACATGTTTTAGGGTATCACTTGTATTGAGTCATAATTTCTCAGGTAATATGGAAGAAAGATGTTGCAGATTAGGTCCACAAATACATAATAGGCAACAATAGAGATTCGGAAACATACCTATCCCACATTGGAGCAGTGCTAAGAATAGATTGAAGTTGCTGATGTGTAGATTCCTGTATATCTTTCTTTCCAGCGCGAAATGCCCCTTTAAACCATCCAGAAAGCACACCTTTTGATTCTGGCTTCAAGTTTACCCAATTTTCATACTGTACAACTTCTTGTGGGAAGTGGTCTGGATTTAATGTTCTGTAATATTTATATTAATATCATTAAGGGAAAAGTTAGATGTCTTAAATAGTTAAATGCTATAATGAGAAAAGGACCGCATGTCTATCGGAAAAGATTACGTAGTGTGAAATTCACAAACCAATAATATTCTTCAAAACCAAGAAAGCATGCATCTCTTGATAGCAGATATATACAAGTACATAAAATTCTTCTTTCCTTCATTTCAGATTTATTGAAGTGAAAATTAAACTACAAAAATAAACCCAATGTTGGACCGTGATGCAACCATCTAAAGATGTGTAACAGCAATTTAGAATATTGCTTTAAAAACAATTACAAAAATCTAGGATATATTCCAAGAGAAAATAGGTAGTTTATAGTATATTGGCTTAAAAAGGGAAAAAATTTATAACAACAAATGACTGGATTTGTTTTTAAGTTTGGTACAGTGTAACAACAAAAACAATATAATACAGCAATGAAAAATAGATTACCGGAACTTTGGGTTGGAAATGATGACTTTGGAGGAAAGATATCCTTCAGGAAGAGAAACTCCTCTTTGTTCAAGATATGCTTCTAGAACTGAGGCCTGCCGTTTAGCTTCTGCTACCTACCAGGGGGAGAAAAAAACATAAACCCATATCCAGTAACACAAAGCATAACTTCTGAACCAAAGCAGCCAACCAACAAGCAAAAACGATTTTAATTCCTACAATTAAAAAACAATGCCATAAGTTCACATGGTAAAATGTTTACACAGTACCCCATCACAAATGATCAGACATCCTATATACTGACATAATATTAACAGGCCACTATGTTACACGAAAATCCAATGCATGACATAATATTAACAGGCCACTGTGTTACACTTCATTGAAGTTCATGAAATACATTATATATTCCTTTTTAAGCAGCTACCAACTCAAACAATATTATTAAACACTTGCAACAAAGTCACATTCACATCAAAGTGAAATTGCACCTATTATACAGCATAGACATCAATTGTCTTCATGAATTCTAAGATTTATAACATCCAACATTTTGATACCGATTTGGAAGCCAACCTCACAAGACAACAAATGCAATGATCAAACAACTGCACTCTAAAGCAAAGTATCGCATTCCTTTTGAAATCAATATAGTCTACAAGAAGTCAATGAATGTACAAAGTAAAGTGTCAGCTTAATCTTTCACTTCATATATAACTTCACCAAATTTTAAATTTGGTTGTCTTCAACTGTAAATAACATTTTTTAAAATCAGACTTACTAGATATGAAAAGTAGGCCATGCTGGGATATTCCGAAATAGAATTGTGGCCTACTACAGAGAGATTGAGGGGAGGGGGGGTAATTCGTGTTCAACAAAAACGCAACAATAACTCTTGGCATTTGCAATAGAAACTATAAACAAAACAAAACCCTTTTAGCAAATAAAGTGCACATTGAATCCCGCGACTTACAGGATTGGGATGATGTTCTTCCTTTTGTTTGTGCTCACTTATACAAAGCCAACTCCCATCGGCGTTAACTGAAACAAACCCTGCCAAATTCTTGACACAAATCACCACTGCCTCCCTACAAAACAACCCCAAAATAAGACACTATATAAACCCTAACCAACTAAGCGATGTATTAACAAGATTATTACAACAACAAACAAAATGCATCCATAAATTTTCCCTTAAACCACACCACTCCTAATAGACAGTACATGATTTGATGATCACGAAAATTAGTACACCCTCCATCCGAAATCAATCAATAGTAACAACGATAGTGTAATTTGAACTAATAACGTGACAACTAAACTCGGACCGAGGTGCAAATATTTAACACAGTGATTAAATAAACAAAACAAAATGAACAAAATTTATAAAAAAAAATGAAAAATTACCGTTTAGTGACAAGAACCAGATCAATACTTTGACGAGAACCGGAATCGGCGTCAGGAATCCGAAGACCAACATACGCCTTTCCTCCATACAATTTCTCTAGTCTGAAAAACGAAATTCATTAATCACATTTTTCAAAATAAAATCAAATTTGTTAAATTCTTCAATTCAAAATAAGTACAATCAAATTCATCAACAATAATAATCATCATACAATAATCAAACTTAAATACGATGATAATGATAAAGGAAAGAGTAAACAAACCTAGTTGCGACGGAGAAAATGGCGTTGAAATCGGAAGTTTCGATGTCCAAAACGTCGTCGTTTCCGAAGAACATACGGAGTACTTTGTAGAGTATTAAACCACAAATAACCTCAATCCACATTTTTGAAGATTGAAATTGAGATTGTGAGATGAAATGGTTGAAGATTGAAGAAGACGAAGGAGGAGAGAGAAAGAGGGGAGTGAGAAGGAGAATTTGTGTGAATCTTAAGGTCCAAGTAAAAAACAGCTGAAACGTCGACGGACTTTTCAGGGAATTGCTGAGACTTTGGATTTTCTACATTTGTAGTTGGATTTGCCCATATTTAGGCTACGCGTCTACGCGGCTCTTGTTTAGTATAAACTCATTCCGTCACTCGTGTAAGAAGAGTTCGATTCTCACTCCAAACAAATGAAATCCCTAATTCTCCGCCTCCGCTTACTTACAAGGGAATTCTCCTTAACTATGTATATTGGACATTTGTTTCCTTAACTACGTATATCGTTCATTTGTTCTTAGAACTCGTAGCCTCGTAGGGAATACTTCATATGAAATATATCAACCGATTTAAAAATCTCAATAAAGTGAGAAAGGAGAACAGGAAAATTTTAAGAGGGGAGGGAATATTGATGGTCGTTGGGAACAATTTGTTGATAGTCAAAATACGGAGTGTATGAAAAGTAATAATACTCCGTAACAAGTTAGCTCTAAAATGTACTCCGTATCTATTATGATTTATGACATCATTTACAGGTAAAATTTACCATGAAAAACACCTGTGTATTTCAGAAAAACAAAAATAATGGTTGGAGAGATGGACAAATTTTCTTATTCTAGACTATGAAGTATGGAGTATGAACTAACACCACTGGTAACAAACTCTGATCTTGCAACTGCTATATACATTGAAGGACTGTAAATTACAGAGAGATTTAGGTTACAAATTAGAGAAAATCTATTAGTTATCCCATATACATTCATGTGAGGCATACAACAAACCATATGCATTTAGAGCTGACTAGCATACAATGTACATCATTCATCATCACAAGTGATATGAGAACCCACAGTACAGCCGGGAGCCTCAGGGTTTTCAGCGCCACAACAGTCATAGAACTTGGCAGCATATGGCGGATCATCAGGGCCCAATTCATAGTACCTATACAAAAGACAAAACAAGGACTGTTTGATTCCGTTCATAAGAGTTAAGGGCAGAGGCATCAACAACATCAACAATAAGAAGGTAAGGGCAAAGGTTTCACGCTGGTGTTGAGGTGAATAAACTAACCATATAGCATGCACATCAAGACCTAAGAAAACTAATTTCTGCAAAATGTAATAGCTGTTTATATCACCAGTTATGCTTCCAGTCTACAAGATCTACCAGCTAAACTCAGCCAAAATCAAACAGCCTTCACACCATGACTGTGAAACATGTAGCTTGCATTGACTGGTCTCAAGGGCAATCGGTAATTCAGTATAGCTGATTTAACATTGCATTCTCACCAGGCATTATAAAGCAGTCATTGGTGCAGTACTGCTCAGCCAATTTTATCTACGTGTATAATTCAGTTGAAAAAAGTGAAGCACAGAAAAGGGGACAAAGACGAAGAATTTGGTGAAGGGAATTGTGAGAACTTACATTCTGAATTCAACATTAACCAAGATAACATGATAGATTGTAATTAGGTAATATAACATGATTAATAGACCAAAGCATTGCTAATAGCTTAGGTTTGATACATCATGCTAGCTTGCTTTTGCATCGTTTATTCAGTTTTGGTGAAATAACTGGTACCACCAAAACCTAAAATCAAACATAACCAATGCTTCAAGATTTACAATTATATTAAATTTGGTGTAGGTTTGTAATTCATATGCATACAATGAAATTTTTTATTAAGGGAAAAAAAAAAAGAAAAAAAAAAAAAAGAAAGAAAAAGATGTGCTTCTGATTGCAGTGCTGAAAGGTTTGCTTCTAGGAAGGCAAACAGTTGATAATACATGTAGCAATATATCTACATGCACAATAAATCACAAAGCAGGGCAAGTGTTCCAGTGAAGTTTTATTTAGATATTGAGATACAAGGGCTCCAAGATTGATATCCCAAAACAGCCACAAGAGACAAGACTATCGTGCAACAGATCAACTAAATCTGAATACTCTATTGACTTAATTCTTTAATACAAATAGATTCTTCCTTCTCAGAACTAATTTGATAAAGATAAGAGTTCATAGATTTACACACCACCCCAGTCTGACTCATAACTTAACAAGGGACCCAAATCTAGAAGAACAATACAAGAATAACCAACTTCTTTATACTTAAAGAGAGACTCGTAAAAAGAAGAGAACTCCCACTCAATAGCATCATATTCCCTACTAATAACTCCAATCTCAATTTATCTCTTATCTTTGAAGGGTCTCATCTTAGGAATAAAGTAAATTTGAAAGCAAAAACCTTTATAATGTCACGACTTACAAGAATACTTCCGACCAAAATTTGAAACAGCATGTTTATCGAAAGAAAGTGAGAGCACAGAAAAGAGGACAAAGATGAGGTAAAAATGTGAAGACACCTATGTGAGCTTTTCTTCAACAACTTAAAATCAACGAATACAACATGGTAGATATTTGTAAATAGTGGATATGGCATGATACATAGACCCAAGCATTGCTCATGACTTAGGTTTAATACCACATGCTAGCTTGCTTTTGCATTGTTTATCTATTTTGGTGATATAATTGTACCACCAAAACCTATCAAATCAAGCTTAACCAATGCTTCATGATATACAAATACACTAAGGGTCTGTTCTAATAGACTGAAATCAGCTGAACTGAATTGAAATGAATATTTTATAAGAGAAGGAAATTAGGAACTGACTGAGCTGAAAATAAATGTATGAGAACAGGCCCTAAATATGTTGTGGATTGTGGGCACCATATACATTCAACGATCAATGAAGCAATATTTTTCCCTTTCGAATCCATTTACGATCCCGAGTTTCTAGACATGAACGGTGCTAAAGGTTGTGGGCACCATATCAAATCAAGCTCAACCAATGCTTCATAAATCATGATATACAAATATGTTAAATATGTTGTAGGCACCAAATTCAATATATTTCCCAACTTAATGAACAAGTACTAGAGCTTGACTTCCCTTTTATCGATCTTCCTTATTTCAGTGCTTTACAATTATATGACATTATTCACCTATAAACTTCTTAGACCCATCACCAATTTCATCGCAAATAAGATGGTTCTAGTCAAACTACAACGAAGACAACATTAGCTAATCCTACAAATTAAAAATCCCTTCTTCATTGTCACAAAACCCTATCACAAACACCCAATTTATATCATTTCCACTAAAAATAAACGCAGAAAATCAATTCACATGCAATAAAATTATACCCATTTCATAATTACATGCTCATAGATTGAAAAAGAGAAGGTTGGCGAATACCTTTTCTGATCATCGTGACGACGACAAACGAAGAAAGAAGGATGAAATCGGCAGGAAGAAGGGGTATTTGAACAAGGGTTAAAGCTTGATTTGCATCTCTTGCAAACCTTTTCTCTCTCTTGTTCTTCCTTGTTTCCTGTAGTCTCCTTCATTTTGCTTTCCACTTGACCTAATTTCTTCTGTGTGTTCGTCTCTCTCCTTTTTTATGTTGGCAGTTTCCAGAACTGGAAAATGGAAAACCCCTGAGGGTTGATGGACTGATTTCAACGCAGGGGTGGGTGAGTTATATAACCTGGGCATTTAGTGTCGGACCCGAAATCGATTTTGTCGGGTCCGATTTTAGGTTTAGAAAACCACGTCTTATGTGCACACTCAAACCCTGTGACCATTGATTGATGAATTTTTATAGAGCTGACCTAGTAATCTCTCTAATATTGACTGAGTAGATGCCCTATGCCCCTATATAATATGTCACATAAAAATTCGAGTCAGATACTTGAACACATAGTCATGTCAAACCCGAGTAACCAAGTCCATAAATCGTACAAAGGACATATTAGAAACAATACTTTCAGAAAGTCCCTGTTTTTGTAAAAAAAATAAAAAAATCCAATTAGGTGGGTGGAACCATCCAATTTGAATTTAAACGGCTAATTTACCGGTTTATAACTTGCACTTATTTCAATAACTAAAGCCTACCACGAACATTTATGACAACATATAATGGTCATTTATGGTTTCAAACTTCATTATATGACCCAGAGATGTATCTAATAAAATCTCATTCCTTTTCGACACCTGGCCCTAAAACCTTCGAAATTTCTCAAAAAGCATGGATATTAGCCTTCAATTTAGGAATTTTTTGACTTTTTGTCGCTAGGAAATAAAAATTGCCGAAATTTTTACCATGGTCCCTAATACCCTCTGGGGGTCCAATTGGGTGGGTGGAACGTTCCAATTTGCCTTTAAACGACCAATTTACCGGTTTACAACTTGCACCGATTTCATTAACTCAAGCCTACAACAAACATTTATGACAACAAATAATGATCACATATGGTTCCAAACGACATTGTATTACCCCGAGATGTATTAACTAGAATTTTGAGACTTTTAGACACCGGGCCCCGAATACTCCAAAATTTCTTAAAAAACGTGGATATTAGCCTTTAATTTTTGAATTTTTTGACTTTTTTTCGCCTGTAAATGAAAATTGTCGAAATTTTTACCATGGTCCTAATACCCTCTGGGAGTCTAATTAATTGTGTGGGTGGAACCATCCAATTTGCCTTTAAACAACCGATTTACCGGTTTACAACTTGCACCGATTTCATTAAATCAAGTCTTCCACGTACATTTATTACAACAAATAATGATCATATAGGGTTTCCAAAAAAAAATTATGACTCTAAAATGAGTTCTCTAAAATTTCAAAACTTTTCAACAACGGTCCCCGAAACCTCCAAAATTTCTAAAAAAAACGTGGATATTGGACTTCAATTTTGGAATTTTTAACTTTTTTCGCCCCGAAATAAAAATGTCGAAATGTTTATAATGGTTAATAATACGCTTAGGAAGTCCAATTGGGTGGGTGGAACCATCCAATTTGCCTTTAAACGGTCAATTTACCGATTTACAACTTGCACCGATTTCATTAACTCAAGCCTACCACGAACATGTATGACAACCTATAATGATCATATATGGTTCCAAACGGCATTATATGACCCCGAAGTGTATTCGCTAAAACCTCAAGGTTTTTCGACACCGTACCCAACCTCAAAAATTTCTGAAAAAGCGTGGATATAAGCCTTCAATTTTGGAATTTTTTGACTTTTTTTCGCCCGGAAATAAATATTGCCGACATTTTTACCATGGTCCCTTATACCCTCCGGGAGTCCAATTGCGTGGGTGTATCCATCCAATTTGCCTTTAAATGGTGAATTTACCGGTTTATAACTTGCACTGATTTCATTAAATCAAGCTTACCACGAACATTTATGACACCATATAATGATCATAAATGGTTCCAAACGGCATTATATGACCCCTAGAAGTATCCCCCAAAATCTCAAGGATTTTCGATACCGGGCCTCGAAACCTCTAAAATTTCTCAAAAAGCGTGGATATAAGTCTTAATTTTGGAATTTTTTGACTTTTTTTTTTTGCTCGAAAATAAATATTGCAAAATGTTTACCATGGTCCCCAATAACCTCCGGGAGTCCAATTGGGTGGGTGGAACCATCTAATTTGCTTTTAAACGGCCAATTTACCGGTTTACAACTTGCACCTATTTCATTAACTCAAGCCTACCACTAACATCTATGATAACAAATAATGATTATATATGGTTCCAAACAGCATTATATGACCCCTAGATGTATTCCCTAAATTCTCAAGACTTTGCGAAATCGGGCTCCGAAACCTCCAAAGTTTCTCATAAAATGTAGACAATAGTCTTCAATTTTGGAAATTTTTTACTTTTTTCGCCAGAAAATAAAATTGCTGAAATGTTTACCATGGCCCCTAATACCCTCCGGCAGTCCAATTTGGTGGGTGGAACCATCCAATTTGGCTTCAAACGACCAATTTATCGGTTTACAACTTGCACCGATTTCATTAATGACAACAAATACTGATCATATATGGTTCTAAACGACATTATATGACGATGAGATGTATTCCCTAGAATCTCAAGACTTTTCGATATCGGGCACCAAAACCTCCAAAATTTCCCAAAAAGCGTGGATATTAGCCTTTAATTTTGGAATTTTTAGACTTTTTTCGCCCGGAAATAAAAGTTTTCAAAATTTTTACCATGGTCCCTAATTTCCTTCGGGAGTCCAATTGGGTGGGTGAAACCATCCAATTTGCCTTTAATCGGCCTATTTACCGATTTATAACTTGCACCGATTTCATTAACTCAAGCCTACCACGAACATTTATGACAACAAATAAGGATCATATATGGTTCCAAACGGCATTATATGACCCATGTATCCCCTAAAATCACAACACTTTTCGACGCCGGGCCCCGAAACCTCAAAAAAATTTCAAAAAGCGTGGATATTAGTCTTCAATTTTGGAAATTTTTGACTTTTTTCGGCCAAAAATAAAAATTTCTGAATGTTTACCATGGTCCCTAATACCCTCCGAGAGTCCAATTGGGTTGGTGGAAGTGTAGAACCATCCAATTTGCCTTTAAACGACCAATTTAATTACCGGTTTACATCTTGCACGGATTTCATTATATCAAGCCTACTACAAACATTTATTACAACATATAATGATCATATATGGTTCCAAACGACATTATATGACCCCGTGATGCATCACCTAAAATATTAATATTTTTCTACCGGACCTCGAAACCTCCAAAATTTCTCAAAAGCGTGGATATTAGCCTTCAATTTTGAAAATTTTTTATTTTTTTTTCGCCCGGAAATAAAAATTGCCGAAATGTTTATCATGGTACCTAATATCCTCCGAGAGTCCAATTGGATGGGTGGAACCATCCAATTTGCCTTTAAACGACCAATTTCCTGGTTTACAACTTGCACCGATTCCATTAATAATTCAAACCTACCACAAACATTTATGACAACAAATAATGATCATATATGGTTCCAAACGACATTATATGACCCCGAGATGTATCCCATAGAATTTCAAGACTTTTCGACACCGGGCCCTGAAACCTCCAAAATTTCTCAAAAACCGTGGATATTAGCCTTCAATGTTGGAATTTTTTGACTTTTTTTCGCTCGGAAATAAAAAAATTCAAAATTTTTACCATGGTCCCTAATACCCTCTGGGAGTCCAATTGGGTATGTGAAACCATTCAATTTGCTTTTAAACGGCCAATTTACCGATTTACAACTTGCACCGATTTACCGATTTATAACGGCCAATTTAATTAACTTACACCGAACCCGACTTGAACCGAAATTGACCCAAACCCGTTTTAACCTGTCAAAACCTGAATTTAACCCGACTTGCTACTAACCTGACCTGAATTCAACCCGACCCGTTCCTAACCCGACCCGAATTAACCAAACCTGTTACAAACCCGACCCGAAATCAACCCGACTTGTTATTGACCTGACCCAAATTCAACCCGACTTGTTAATGACCTGACCCGAATTTTACCATACTTATTACTTACCCAACCCAAAAATTCAACCCAATCTGTTACTAACCCGACTCGAAATTAACACGACTTATTATTGATCCGACCTAAATTCAACCTAAATTGTTCCTAAACCGATTTCAAATCACATTAAATGCAATTTAGACCACCTTATTATTGTTGTTCAAAGCATGCATTTTGTCTTGGGAGACCAAGTCGGTCCAGGCCAGCAAAAGAAAGGAGGATCATCCTCAAATTTAAGAGTTAAATATAGTATATATTTGTTGTATGGTCAAAGGAGATAATTATCTTCCTAAATTATAGACTATAGTTCCCTAGTATATTGCCATATATATTATAGTCAAAGGAAATAATTAGCTTAATAAAAATGATAATTATCTATTTATAGTTAGTTGAATTCAAATATGACCTGACTTGGAAATGACCCAACCTGATTGTAGCTTACAATTTATTGACTTGAACATAACCCGACTTGAATCCGAGAATGACCCGACTTGAAAATGACCCAACCTGATTATAACCCTCAAATTATTGATTTGAACCGAACGCGACTTGAACTAGAGAATGACCCGACTTGAAAATGACCCAGCTTGATTATAACCCGCAAATTATTGACTTGAACCGAACCTGACTTGAACCCGAGAATGACCCGACTTGGAAATGACCCGACCTGATTATAATCCGCAAATTATTGACTCGAACCGAACCCGACTCAAACCCGAGAATGACTCGACCTGATTCTAACTCGCAAATTATTGACGTGAACCGAACCCGACTCGAACTAGAGAATTACCCTAACCCGTTTTAACCCGTGAAACCCCGAATTGAACCCGACCTATTGTTCATCCGAATTGAATATAACCCAACTTGTTATTAACCTGACCTAAACCCGATCCAAACCCGATAAGATGTATGACCCGACGTGACCCGACTCAAGCATGATCTAACCCAAACCCGACCCGCATAGGTTATGGAATTAATCTGAATTGACCCAACCCGTAAATCCTAATTGACAGCTCTAAATGAACCCTGACAATATCTCGACCCTTATAGATTTTTTTGGCCTAGTGTTTACATGCAGACACTTTGAGAGTGAGTGGTTGAGGCCTTGAGGGTAAGGGATCCCCACCCTTAAAGTGGCTCTATTGGAGATTGAACCCCAATTTTAAAGTTGAAACGTTTAATCTTTCTCACCACACCAAGCTTGATTACCGAGATGCATGTATACTTTATGCATCATGACAATCGACAATAATGCATCCAAAGATAGCAAAACAAAATCTTGGATGAATACTTGAACAACTTATGAAGCATGCTGTTTAGCTAAATAACCCACTTTCATGGGTCATGGGTCATGGGTCCGACGTCAGCAGGCAAGAAAAAGGCCCATTTCCTTTTCCTGGGTTCAATGAAGCCAACTACAAAGGGTAAATCAGTAATTCCAACAAAGAATTGCGGAGTCCTTCATAATTGGATTACTTGGGTAGGTAGATTTGGATAGTCCGTATAAATATAACAACGTTTCACATCCACAAATCCAAAAAAAAAGGAAGGGAAAATTTCAAAGGATAAGCAACCTTCCAGATTACACCATTACTAAGGGAGTTGAGCGAGGAAATCCCTATCTCCTCCGCCCTTTAACTTTAGTAAGCTACAACGATTCGATAATTCTGAGTCTATTAGATTCCGACTAATCCTAACTCGACCTGAGTTACTTCAACCTTACAAACTACAAAGTGTAGCACCACATTCTAGATAGATTAAATAATAATTTCAATCTTGATTTCATTTCATTATTGACAATGTCAATTTCTCTACAATTCTTAACCACTTCTTCCCCAACAACCGCCGCCGCCGCCGTTGTCGCCGCCTCTTCTTCTCTAATTCCGCAGTCAGGAGCACTCTTTCGATTTCTCCGGAATCATCATAGACAGATAGTTTGTTATTCTAATGGAGTTGGACCCTTGTTAAATGGAGGAAGTAAACTAAATTTGATTAGACCCAAACCCGTTTTATTCACTTCTTCGGGTCATTATTCGGGTCGATTATCAAAGGGTTTTGAAGATTCTCGACGTACTATCGCCGCCGCTTCTGACGGTTCTGATTCTATCGAAGATGATGAACCCTTTAAAGATGCTGCTGAAATTGTGAGTGATGCTGAAGAAGAGGAGTTTGGGTTTGATCTTCCTGATGTTGACCGTTGGGATGTTTTGGGTCTTGGCCAAGCTATGGTATTATCCTTTATCCTCATCTTCCTCTGATTTTATTACTAATCAAGTGTTTTTATTTAATCATTTTTTGGTTCGGAATTAGTTGTCACGTTGATAATGTTATTTGAACTAGTGATGTAACAACTAAATTAAGACGGATGAAGTATTTAAGTGAATGTTGTTGTCTATCATGCTAATGGGTTTTGGCACATTGTATGATTTAGTAGTTGTTTATAGCAATATTAACCCCTTTACTGGCCGGCACCGTCAGTAATGCTAAGTTGGTAAATTCATATGCCAGCATTTGAATGACATGATCATGTAAAGGAGGTTCTGCTAAAGTTAAATTTGGCTACTGACTTGCTGTAAAAAAAAAAAATGGAGTCTTGATTGTGTATTGTTGTTCTGATGCAAAAGATGTTGTATTGTCTTAGGCAAAAAGAGAATTTGAAGTTGTTTCTAGCTTTGAACTTCCTTATTATGCCATTATTTTTTCATTGGTACATTTTAATTTCACTCACACTCTTATGTGTTTCATATATTTAGGTTGACTTTTCGGGAGTTGTCGATGAGGAATTTCTTGAGAGGTTGGATTTAGAAAAGGGGACAAGGAGGCTTGTGCACCATGAGGAAAGAGGTAAAGTTTTGCGTGCAATGGATGGTTGTAGCTACAAGGCTGCTGCTGGTGGATCATTGTCCAATAGTTTGGTTGCTCTTTCGAGGCTTGGGAGTCTTCCTGTCGGAGGGCCTGTTCTGAATGTTGCCATGGCGGGTAGTGTTGGTAGTGATCCATTGGGTGGATTCTACAGGTGAGGATTTTTCTTTTTCGTATTTCCCTTGAATTGCTTTGAAAAAGTATACAGAAAGTATGAGATGCTAAGTAAGTCCTTTGTGGATGAGGTATTAGCACTTTGTTAGATTTTGGATGCTTATTTATCTGGATGATCCTCTAATTTTGCTTCTGTTGAAAATTTTATTGTGAAAATACATTAACATTATCCAACTATTTATATCAAAAGCAGGTCAGAATATACAAACTGAGCGTTCATCTATTGCAAGTTTAAGTCATTTGTAGGTTTTTGTCTAGTTATTACTTGTTGCTGTTGACTTAGTCTAGTACTCTATACAAATTTGCTTCATGTTGCAGTCTATGTATTTTAGTAAAATTTCTATTTCTAAGATGAATAGTTTGTGGGTGTATACAATACGGAAGACTGCTCTTGCTGAAGCTTAGGACTTTGCTTAGTACGACTTTATACTATCTATTTTCTTAGTTTTATACATTTTTATTCTGCTATTCTCTACTAGTTATATTGACGTTTCCTGCCATTTTTGTAGGGCCAAATTGCGTAGAGCAGGTGTTGATTTTCTGTCTACACCACTCAAGGATGGGACAACTGGGACAGTTATAGTTCTCACGACTCCTGATGCCCAGCGCACTATGCTTGCATATCAGGTATTCAATCCTTTCTCTATATCTTACGGTAATCGGTCAATGTTTGTCAAAAACCCTAAATCAAGGTAGCTCCGAGGGTTTCTAGGAAAGCCACTACTTTCATGATTATGAGGCAGGTCTTTGTCTTGGGTTTACCTGTGTTAGATTTACAGAGTTGCAATTGTTTTGAATTTTATTTTATCATCTGCTTTAGAGGGTAGTATACTGAATTTACTGATTTTTTAAAGCTGCTTTAATGTGTAATCCTTGCCTTCTAGCTTGTGCCTTATGCAGTTTGTCACACATTGGATGTTTCTTTAGTTACCATTTGCTGTGTATGAAACCCCCTCAAAGTCACTTTTGAAAAGTAACTAATAAAAGTGCTATTATAATTTATCCATATATTAGTAGAAAAGGTCCCGAGAAATAATGTTGTTGATAGATTAATAACTACAATGACATTTTGTTTTTTGGGGTACAATATTGCTACTTTAAAATTTAATCAAAGTCGAAGTAATAGCTTGTATAAGAGATTTTACGTCTAGTAGCAATTTCTCCTTTCAAACCCTGTCATCACCTAAATCATTATTAGGCTTTGCCATAGAGTAAAAACAGCAACAGTGACAAAGAAGATGATAGTGCTGTTGCATTCTCCCAGGATGTAGAAATTCTTTGATTATGTAATATTTTCTGAAGAAAGCTGAGTTACAGTTTGATCCTAAAAAGAACTAGGAATACACCAAATATTAAGTATTTTTACCCTTAAAAGGATTAGGAACACACCAAATATCAAGTATTTTGACCCTAAAAAGGATTAGGATTTAGGAATACAGTCAATGGAGATATATTTTTTAGTTGTATCTCTGACAGCTCAACTGATAGGGTATGATTGCAGGAGATCATTTAGGATTTGATTGATATCTTTGTGATTTCTTGCTTATATCTTAATAAATTATTGATACCTTTCTGTGATCTTCTGTCATTAGTTTTATATTTAGAAAAGAGTATTTTGAAACAATGCACTAACATACTGACGTGCGCACATGCTTGTCTGAGTAATTTTGCCTCTCCTAAGTGTTCCTCGATCTCCAATATTTTATTGATTAATTGTCTCATACTCTGTTTTTTGCACTTTCTTAAGATTTGTTTGAAGCACATCTAATCTATTCAAATTTCCAATTTGAAAGACTTATATACCTCTATCAATCTGACTGCAGGGAAAATCCTCCAAAATTAACTATGATTCTGGACTGTCCGACATAGTTTCCAAGACAAGCATTCTTGTTGTTGAAGGCTATTTATTTGAACTCCCAGATACTATTAAATCAATAACAAAAGCATGCAAAGATGCACACAGCAATGGAGCCCTTGTTGCAGTTACAGCATCAGATGTGTCCTGCATTGAGCGGCACTATGATGATTACTGGTTAGACATTTGCTATCCTTTATTTACTAATTGCATGGTTTTTTTTAGTACAGAGTAAGGTATTATTGTGAAGGAATCATGATGAGTTTTGTGTATTTAGGCATTTGCTATGATTCATCCCCTTATTCCTTGTGGTATTGGGTGGTTAATTGGTGATGAAAATTGATTAAAATCACATGGTTGCTAGTGTGTACACAATATCTTGATATCAAATACTCCGTAGAATATTCCATGTTTAGTTACATTCAAACATGATTGAGATTTCCTTCGTTATCTCATCATTCTCAACCTTTCAAAGTCATATGTAGTGTACCATATAACCAAGCTTAATGAATTTGCTTACAATTGCCTGATATATTAGTGATTAAGTTAAGTCATAATTTTGCATGGGAAGAAAAGGGTAGCCTTCCATGCTGCTGACTACATTTTGCTGTATTTTGGGTACATAAGGTTTGAAGTCTAGAGAAAACTGGATCTATCAGTGTAGTAAGCAGTATACTGTGTACGAAGTATGTGCTTGCTTTATTAAGTGACTTTTTCTGAAGTAATTTTGCTCCAACATTTACGTTAAGCAGGTCATTAGGCTATTATATAACGTTGTATTTCAACCTAAATCATACCCTTTGAATTTCCCTTTTTTTTTTAATTAAATAATTTCCATGACTGATATATGTCATCTCTTCATATGTCCAGGGAAATAATAGGGAACTATGCTGATGTAATTTTTGCAAATAGTGATGAAGCTAGAGCTCTGTGTAATTTTTCATTGAAGGAAAGCACAGCTTCTGCAACAAGGTATCTAAGCCATTTTGTCCCACTTGTGTCTGTGACTGATGGGCCCCAAGGATCCTATATTGGGATCCGAGGAGAATCTGTATACATTCCTCCATCACCTTGTGTACCAGTAGACACATGTGGAGCAGGAGATGCCTATGCTTCGGGGATTTTGTACGGTATATTACGAGGAGTATCAGATGTAAAAGACATGGGTACATTAGCAGCTAGGATTGCAGCTGTAGTTGTTGGCCAACAGGGGACTCGGCTTAGAGTTCAAGACGCTGTTGAATTGGCAGAGTCATTTGCTTTCCATCTTGAGGATTCCTCTATTTGACTGGAATATATCTGTTCCTCTGTGCCTTCTTGTATGTTGAATACACCATCATTCCATATTAGTTCACTTGTTCATAGTAATGTTTATTCTTCATTGTACATCATATTCCAAAATAGGAAATCACTTTACTTTCTTCCCTTTTCCTCCATTGATGTCCTCTACTCCTCTTGGCTAAATATGTTGATGCCCTTAGGATTTAGCACTGCCTTAGGTAACGAAATCAGTTGTATCATCTGGACATAATGTATGATTAAATGAAGGTAACGTGAATGGTACGAGTAGACGAACTATTGGGTTCTTGCTTGGTGCCCTCTTGTACATCTGTTCCTTGGCTCTGTCTTTATCTCTATTTCTTTAAATTTGTTTATTCTACTTGATTGTCTGATAATTGTAATAAGCAAAGCTCCAAAATACATATATAAAATTTCAGTAAAACTTACCTGTAATTGTAGGAAAATGAGCAAGAGCAAGAGCAATAATAATAACACATTTATTCAAGAGAAAATAAATCAGGGAAGGTGGGTAAGTAAGATTAGTAACACAATTTTGTATGTAAATCTTTTGAAAGTGAGCTGGGGGGGGGGGGGGTTTGGGTACAAATCTTGTATTGTTGTGTACAATGTCATAAGTCAAAAGCTAATCAGCGTCTCCGGGGCGTTAGATAAGAGAATTAAAGTGCAAATATTAGAGTAAAATTAACATTAATTACACCGAACGACGCGTGATTTTGTCATAAATTCCTAACTTAATACCATTTCAACCAATATAATTTATCCTTATCTAACGCCCCGGGGCGCTCGTTAGCAACATCGATGTCATAACTATGCATAATACAAATTTTTTGGGGGGGTAATTAGTGTGACATGATTCATCATGAGATTTTACACATATTCATCTTTGACATTGAATTCTTATACTACGTATGTATTACACAATGACAAAGTAAAGGATACAAGGCCCGTGTCTGGATGATTAAAGCTACTTAGTATATCATTGCACGCCTTTATTCTTAATATTGAAATCTTAAATCGGTGCATAAAACAAAAGAAAACTTTTCATAACTAGACGATTAATTAGGTATAGTTCTTGAAACTACATGATTTTATATGCCTTCATCTCTATCATTGGATTTTTACACAAATGTTAAAAAATGTCATAAGTTTGACCGATAAGGTCGGACTTAACCCATCAAGCCCATCAAGAGATTTTTCACTTCATTTATAATGTTCTTATATACTTTTTGTTCAAATTTAGCAACGCTACTCAAATTCAAATTATCTTCTTTTAATTACAATTCAAACAATTTAGGTCCGGTCAGTTTCATCAAGTCCAACCTTTACTAAGACAAAAGATATTTTCTATAGATTTGCCTTATCCAACCACAATCCAAAAATAGCAAAAACAAATCAAAAAATTTCATGTAACTAATCTAACCATGTTATGTAATAATAATAAAATTATGGTTAACTCATAATTCGTACAGAATTATAAGAATATTTACTGCTATATTATCTGCCATCTTCTCTACTTCCTCGCGCTCTCTTCATCATCACTGCACCAAACAACACATCCCTGAAAATGGTACAATTTTAATGTCAATCTCTCTCTTCATCTTCATTTTCTCCCACTTTTCTTTGTAAGTTTTCAGCTTTCTCTTTCATCCCACCATCATTTTTCTGCAACTCTAAGATTTCTCTACTATATCCTCGATTTTCGCAAACTCCCAATTTTGGGTGGAATCTGCTCATCTTATCTTTAGATTGTGGTAAATTTTCCATCTTTTACTATCTGGGTACTTGTAAATGTGAAGTTTTCTTGAATTTCATGTACATTTTGCAGTTTAAGTTGAGAATTTTTCAACTGTAATTTCTGGGTTCTTCACATTATGCTGCTGGTGACTGATGTGTGGGTTTTTCTGCATTTGAATGTTTATTGCTTTGATTTGATTTTAGTTTAGTTCATAGTGTGGTGCAAAATTCCCCCAAAAACTTAGCTATGATTTTGCCCTATTGCTTGATTTTTATGTTCATGGAAAATTAGGGCTTTTGGGTTACTTCACCGCAATTGGGGTTTAGATAATTAGGCTTTGTTTTGGGGGGATTTTTTATTGTGATTTTGAGGATGGATTTTGGAACTGAACCTGGGTTTTCGGAAATGGGTGGATCATTTGAGAATTGGGGTGGGATTAATCCAAATGATCAGGCAATTTGGGCTACTGAAGATGAATATAGAAGTTGGAATGGCAGTGAAACACCAAGTTCTAATTACCACCTACCTCCGCCTCTGCGGTCGGGTGCCGGAGCTGAGCCACCCAATAAAAAGACTAGGAGCTCCCAGAGTGGTGACTCTGCGGCGAGCAGCCGCTCGAAAGCCATTGGGAAGATGTTTTATAAGACTAAGCTTTGCTGTAAGTTTCGTGCCGGGGTTTGCCCTTATGTCACTAACTGTAATTTTGCTCATGGCTTGGAAGAGCTCCGGAAGCCGCCTCCGAACTGGCAAGAGATTGTGGCTGCTCATGAGGAGGAGAGGGGTGTTACTGTTGAGCAGAGGGAGGAGCACCAGATACCTACTATAAGCACCACTGAATTGCGAAATGAATCTCCGAGGACCTATAAAGGAAGGCATTGTAAGAAGTTTTATACTGAAGAGGGTTGCCCTTATGGAGAGAACTGCACCTTTCTTCATGATGAGCAATCAAGAGCTAGAGAGAGTGTGGCAATAAGTGTGAGTCCCACTGTTGGCGGCGCTTTTGGTGCTAATGGCCCGACTCAGAAGCCTTCGAATTGGAAGACCAGGATTTGTAACAAGTGGGAGACTACCGGTAGTTGCCCATTTGGGAGTAAGTGCCATTTTGCCCATGGATTAGCAGGTATCATTCGTCCGCATTTAAACATATCTGTTAAGTGTACTTTGCTTTGATTTCTTATAATGATACCATCATGTGTATAGAACTTGCAATGAGTATATTTGAAAAGCTGGTCAGATTTTGTTAAGTTTCTTATTGGATGCTATCATCTTATCTGAGTTTGCTCAACTTTAACAGACAAAAAGTAGGAAATGCAATCCGTGTTCCCAAATCAGGGTGAAATAGCTTTCTTTCTGTTTCCAATGGGGGCTTAAAGATACAAGTAAACATACTTTCTCACTATAAGCAACATAATATTGGAACTGTGTATAGCCGAATGAGGGAGCTGATTCATCCTTGCAGTTACTATTCCATATGTGTAGCCTTTTTTCTCTTACATGTTGCTGTTCTGGCAGTCCCTTCCATTTACACTAAATAGTTGCTATTCTGGCACTCGCTTCATTGTAGTTTGAAATCAATCCCATTTTAGCCATGGCTAAAGCGCCATGCTTTACTTGATAACTATCTTCCTATAGATTCGTAGTCTCTTCTACCACATCAACGCTAGACTCTTCTACCACAGCAACACTGTCCCATTTAAGACTCCAGTAATATACCATCATTTTAATAAAATGTTTTTGACTTGATTATTATTTGATAATTTACTTTTATGATTTTATATTTTTTGTGTGAAAAAGTTCGGGAAAGATTGGGAAGAAGATTTTAAGTCTTGATGAAAGACTGAGTCCATAATTTGGCTTCCGTAACTTCAATTGTCCATAAATTTGCAGCAGTTGGTGGACTTGAGTTCCTTCTATAGATAGTGGTGAAAATTAAACGTTGTAAAACCTGATCTATGCTCTTTATGAATAGTATGTAGTACTAATGGAGTCATTTCTTCGATTTGTAAATTGTAAAAGCCTAGAATTTCATAGAACATATAATATTCTTATGCATAGCATGTGATTACTCTCAACATGTACTGTTTGATTTTATTTGACATCGAAGTTTCATCTTCCTGTTAGCACCTTTCTTGTTATTTGTAAGTCGTTTGAGCGTTTTCTCTTATCTCTTATGAAAGATTTTAATTCCTTCTTTGAAGTCTTATGACTTGGTTTGTTTATATGAGTCTACGAAATGTTTGTTCATGTCGGTTGCATCTCTTCTTATTGTTTGAAGCGGAAACTAGTAATTATTTGTTTCTCTTGAAATCTTTTTCCTTTTTGTATTTCTTTGATCAATTGCTTGGGATTTTTTTCAAGCTTATATCAGAGGCATGTGCTTTTAAAATTCCTTCATTAAAACTTTTCACACTTAGAGATCCATTGAAGCCCCCCTGCCCCCATTTCATAGAAGCACATGATAATAATTGGATGGTTCTGTGCATATATATACTGAAGGAGTTGTGTGCTCTATGCTATGAAGACTTGAGCTATGATTTTCGTGATTCCTCTTGTTATTTCCCAAAGATTTTCTAGCTTGGGTTGTGTTTGTGCTGAGAGAGGGGGCATTGAAAAAAAAGGTAATGAAGAATCAGTCAGCACGTATGTTTCGTAGGTTTACAGCTGACTCAATTTCAAAGCTTATATTTCTAGTTAGATTTTAGCTAACTTGTTTTACAAGGGTCCAAGCATTTTCTAAGTAACTGTAGAACAACTAGATTTGCATTTGTTGACCAAATCAACAAAATATCTTTATGACATATGGCTGGAAGCTTTGGAATCAAATGATGTTGAATTTTTTTTTTTTTGCCATATTGTGCAACCAGCGACACTGTTTTGGGTTTGTACACAGACATGTACTGTGCAATCTGTCTTTTCTGAAGCTGAGTGCTAGAGATCTTTATGCTTCTATCTGCACTTCCTAATTGGTGTAAAAGAGTTTTATTTTGGAAGCTTTCTTCTAGCTCTATTGGACTCTTGTAAAAATAAAATCTTCGCATGTCTTGGACCTCGATACCCTACTTGAGACAGAATATATACTGGTGCCTTTTGTAATTGTGTGAATGACATTTATGCTATGTTTGGATAAGAAATTAGAAGGGAAATGGAAGGGAGGGAAATAGGAGGAAGGGGAAGGAAAGGAAAGTGGAGGAAATGATGAGCTCCATTTTCCCTCCAAATCTCTCCAATTTTGAAGGGATGGTCTTTATTAAAGGAGGAGGGAAAATGGATCCCTCCCTCCCCCTCCCCTTCCCTCCCCCAACATATTATCCAAACAAGGAACTTTGTCTCCCTCCCTTTCCCTTCCCTTCCTTTCCTTCCATTTTTTGTTATCCAAACATAGCCTTAAGGATGTAACAGGATTACCAAATTAGTGCCAAATAAAAATTCTTTGACATTGTAGAGAATTCCTTCCCTGGATATGGAATTTGCAATTTCTATTCTTGGACCGTATACCCCCGCCCCCCTCTTCCCTTCCCTAAGTAACTCACATCTCTATTTTGGCCTGTCCAAATTCAGGAATTATTTTTGTAATTCAAGCTACGGACTTTCTCATTCCTTAATATTACCTTGGACTTAGAATTCCAGGGGAACCTATCTTGTACATGTTTGAGATTATAAGTTTTAGAGAGTAAAAGACAGTTATGGAGTTCTGGGAGTGGGGAATTGGGGAGTGTTTTATTTACAGTGGCTTCTTGATTTGTCTCCTCTTGATCCCCAATTTAAGATATAGAATAAAAAGAGTGGAAAGAAAGAAGAATTAGGGCTGTATTTCATGGTTTATCTTTATCCAGGGGATGCATATGGCTAACATCTTGTTGCTGTGTGGCAGAATTGCACAAATTCACTGGTACTGAGGGGGAAGGCAGAGACTCCTCTGTGCTGACAGAAACAAGGCCAAGTGGTATGACCACAAAAACAGATGCATCTCCGAGTTTATCAACCCCTCGTCAGGAATATCACCATGTTGGACTAGGAATTCCATCACAGCGGACTTCAAGTATACCTCAGGCAGTTGGGCAAAGGCCTGCCCAGAAATGGAAAGGACCTGACAAGATAAGCAGGATATATGGTGACTGGATTGATGACATTGAATAACTCTGTGATAATATCTTCTGGTTCATCGAGGCTTTCCGTTCTATGTCTATGATTGCAGAGGAGGGGCTATAGATTTCTGTAGGTTGGCCCAGGAGGTCATTGTGAATCTGTCATCTAGTTTGTATTTTGTGTAATGAGCTGTTGAGTTTTATATACATATGTGACTCTTGTGTTCAAAGCCAAGGCCAAAACTTTTTGTATCATGCGTTTTCTCTGATAAATCAATTTTATCTTGTATTTACCTATGTGCTTAACTTAGTGCATTCTGCAGTGCTCAAGGAATTCCAGAGATTTATCTTGAATTACCTCCTTTTATACTGTTGTTAATCAGCTTGATCAGAAGGAATAAAGCTGTCTTTAAAGTTTGGGGCACAACCTCTTTGCTCAACTGTAAATATATATTTTGGCTAAGATTTTTGATTTTGCCTTTTAGATTTGATTATTTATGGCTATTGCAGAAGGATATCTAGCTTCAGACACAAACGATGGTGCTGATCAGAGCAGTCATAAAAGCGTCAGAGTTCGAGTGGCCTAAGACCAAGGAATTCTCCGTTCTGTTCTTGTAGCCAACCACGGAACCACCAGCTTAGCAAGGTATCAGCAGGACAGCAGGGGACCAAAGATGCTGATGGGAGATTGAAATCTCTCTTTCCTTTACACCAGTGCAGCAGCAGGGCATCAAGGAACATTCGTTGCCAATCCGGTTAGTTTGGGTTATATATTATGGGGGTATTTGCACTGATTAATACACTAGGGTCCTTGAATTGCAACCTTCTTTCAGAAAAAGCACGGAGTACACGAGCTTTGCACCAGCCATCTCTCTGAAGTATACTCCTGTGAAAATCGACCGAGTGAAACATGGAAGCTCTTACTTGTGTTACCATTTCAACTTCTAATACTAGTTAGTTACCCTATTAGTCACTAGTTAGCCACCTTCAATCTAATTATATCTTTCCCAAAAAAAAAAAAAAAGTTTCTAATAATGAAAATTAACAATTTAGAATTTTTTTAAGGTTATATGAAATGTAACTCCAAATTAAGCCATATTTGGTATTGAGAAGGAAATCACTATCTCAGGTTAAAAGGAGTACCTTATGAAATAAACTTTTGTAATCTGCCTATATTTTTTTGTCACTGTTTTTATCATGTGTAAAATAGATGAGGGCATATTTAAAAATGTGGTGTACGTGGATTAATTCTACTTTCTGAAAAGAATAGCATCAGAAAGCATTTACTCCAAGTCACATGCCATTATTATTCATTTTATCTTGATTTCTAAATAGTGCTGGATAAATCATTTTACCACTCAAATGTTAGCATTGTCTAATTACTATATTCACGATGCATATATAAATCGAGATGAATATAACAACTCCTCATATGACTTTATTTTACTTAACGTATAAATCACAAAAAGATACGAAATATTAATTAAATGATATCTAGTGATAGAATGAAACTAAAATTGGATCAATTATTTGATGATGGAAAAAGGATAAAGCACAATAAATATGAACCATAAACTATTATAAATATTTAGGGCATTTAAAAGTGGGTATTGTACCATTGTGGTTGATCGCCTAACCAACGAAAGGCCCTGAAAGTACAATTGATGTTTAAGGGGGCCATCCAAATTGAAGAATAATTTGGTATTTTGGCGTTGCTTTTCAGCATAAGTTGCAACTAACTCTTTATTCCAACGATATAGGCCCTCCTATATCTAATAATAATACGAGTAATAATAATTAAAAATAAAAAACGTTCATCTCCAATTATTGGACCGTCAATCAGTGGCGGACCCAGGAATTTCCGATTGGTGGGTCACAATCGATAATCAAGTATGTAAAAAAAAAAAAATTACCGAACAACCAAATAATAGTACTAAAAAATACATCCAAATATTCAAACAGTACAAAATACAACCAAATGTTCATATAATACAAGCAATTTCACATAATGACATAATCACATAAACATATTACACAAAACACAATTACACAAAACAGATTTCACATAAGTAATAAGTTCAAGAGATTTCAATTACACAAAACACAATTACACAAAACAGATTTCACAAAAAGAATCAATTGATGATTAGTTGATTACCTACCTTGCTAGGCGGAGGCGAGCAGCGGAGCAGGCGGAGCAGCACTGCAATAGGGCCACGGGCAGTCGGCCAGCACCGCAGCACGGCAGTCGGCAGCACTCAAGTCTCAGGCACCGAGGCACGCACTCAGCAAGACAGCAATTCGCCAATTCAGCAGCACAGCCAACTACAAATTAACAAATCAACCAAAGTTTAAACCAAAGTTTAATAAAATTAACTAATTAGACTGAATTAATTTGAAGATTAGAAATTAAAAATAAAAATTAGAAATCAACTTACTAGCGAGTAGCGATTTCGAAATGCGATTATGCGACTATGCGAGAAGCCACGAAGAGGACGGAGTCCACGACCACCGACGTCCGACCACCAGGCGAAGAGAACGGTGGCTGCCTGGCTGGGACGAAGCGAAGAGGCGAACTGAAGAATGGAGATGAGGCGAAGACGCGAAGAGAAGAAGGCTAGGGCTTGAAGTCTTGAACTGAATTCATGTTTGGTTTTTTTGGGGAAAACTGATTTTAATTTTTTTTTTTTTTAAATAACTTAAAATTTTTTTTTGGGCCTGGTGAGTCACTTGACCCACCAGGTCTAAGCCCAAGTCCGCCACTACCGTCAATATACGAGACATCAATTTAAAAGTACTTGTACAAAAAAGTTACCTAATATGGAGTAGATGATTAATTTACGTGAAACTTATTTGAAACTCAAAAAATGCTTGGGTGACGATGTACATTAACTTGGTGTTATAAACGTTTTGTGTCCTTGAAAAGGCATGGGGCAAGCTGGCTCAGGAAGTACTGAAAGGTTTAGGAATGATGAATTTCTATTTGCATACTTTCTACTCTTTCCTAAGCTAGCCTTCTTAAACTATAAAGATATGATGAATTTGTGGTGAACATTAAATTGAATTATACTATTCTAACATGGAGACATTTTAATAAGAATAAAGTAATTATATATGTGATGTTACTAATTACTATTTTAGTATTAATTAAATTTTGTGTTAGTAGTTATGGTTACTGCAGCATGGAAGCATGCATGGAAGTAGACACACAAACGAGTGATATGACGCATACTTAAGGCTACTTGTTTTGATTAATTTTATTCACTTGTTTTACTGTTCGTCATTGACTTGTACCACCCACAAGAGGGAAAAAAAAATAAAAGGATTGTGTCAATATTAATGATTATTCCGTGATTCGATATATGTCGATAATGTGGATGCTAACTAGCCTATTAAGTTAAGTCTCGTAGTTGATTTAGCCCATTTAGGATCGAACACCGTATCATTCGGTAAGAAGGGCAAAGAAATATATTTGCAATTAAAGAAAAAGAAACCTAATAATGTGGCCGAACATCTAGAGATATAGAGCTGAGTACAAACTTATAATATGTCTTACAATAGCTAATTTACAAATCACATTCCATTCGAATCTCATTAATTGTAAAATATTAGTCAAAATAAGAGGTTAGTTCTCATTAAACTCATTTATATTGTAAATTAGTTCAAAACGCATCAGTATAACTGTATAAGTAAAAAAAAAAAAAAAAAAAATTCCTTCATTAATGTAATGTATGTAACACATTACACATTTGATTAATACGTAGATGTTATCTATAAAATGATTGAATCTTTTAAATCTATCAATATTTTTGCAATCAATTATTAATATTATATTAATATTTGTTATGAATAAATAATTGCATAGGCAAGAAGGCATTTGTTGGAATTAGAAAAGTGGCGACGATTAATGGCAACGAATATAGGAGCATGGTCAGCTGTAGGGTGGATTAGCTAACCACATTACATTACATCTTCCTCTCAACTGGGCCCCACCTTCTCACTCTATCTTTCTACTGTACATTCTCTAGAAGGGCAGCTCTTCCAGTTATAGAAGGCTACTTTTACCGGTATTACCGGTAATCTTTCTTTAAACCTTTATTGCTTTATTATTAATTTATTAGTGTGTATCTATATCAAGTACACTGTACTACCCTTCTTGTCTTTTTCCTCGTCCTAAATTTCCCACATTACAAAAGAGTAAGGTATTGATGTAGACAGAATTTAATCTCAGGTCTCGAGTATTATCTCTGATCCCGTGATTGTATCAAGAAGTCCCGAGTGGTTGGTAATCACCCCACCCCAACTTTCGGATCTTGCACTTTCCTTGTCACCCAATTGATTAAGACAAATCCCATAATTTATGTGTATAGTTAATAACTTTTTGGACATAATTATGTGTAATTAGCTAGGGGTAGATGCTCTACTTCCCTAGTTTTCTAGTGTAAAAGCGGTTGAACTTGTTCAAAACGAACCTAGACACAAACCGATAATTATATGATTACTCTAAATCATTGATTAAACTCTCGTACCTTTGTGTATGGATCAACACTTGTACACGACGAATCAACCCGTCTCATATACTACCTCCGTTACAGGTTATGTGCAACGATTAGACATTTTCCCTCTCTGTTTTATGTCAAATCGTTGCACATAACCTGTAACGGAGGTAGTACAATAATTCCGAAACAATCAAGGTAGGCATAACTAAACAACCTAATTCTCACGGGAGACGATCATCACCTACTCCTACAATCTTGCTTTGCCAAAAAACATCAAAACAACAAATAAACTGAAACAAACAAATCCACCAGATTTAGTTTATGGATTACTTCTACTTCCTACTTTCTAAGTTGCGTGCTTCTGTTTTCGCGCACTTACTACCAATAACATGCTTTTCAATCACAAATCCAAATTCATAAATTATTGCTATCAAATATGACAAGTTACTTTCATCATTCAATTATATACAAACATACATTACATAATTGTTTTCACATTACCTAAAGTATTATGATCGATCGATTTATTCCAATTTTCTTTCTTTAAGAAAATAACAGAACCTCCCCTGTATCCGAACAAGCGCCATATACCTACACCATTACATTACATATACGTAGTATATCGGTATTTACATCAAAGTCGATTTCCTCCCCACATACATATACCTTTGTGTGTATACCAAAAAAAGAAAAAAGAAAAAAAAGCTCTTAAACTTACTTGTATTGCTTCTATTCATATCTTCTATAAGTCTTTCCTAACTGTCTATATTTATGTACATATACAATACTTGAGAAGAGAGTACCTGCAGCTATTAGTCTTGTGTAATATACAGAGTGCACTCCTGCACGGACTAGTATAGATCGCGTTAACTAGCAAAGATGTAGCGAGCTGTGGTAGCTGTAGTAGTAATATTGTAGTGGCAGGCTGGCAGCAGTTTTAGTACTGTATGAGAAGTGCCCCGAGAGGGGCTCTATGAGGTATACCCTTCCTGCGCTTTGCAGACCTGTAACCTGCACCGCCTGAGCCAGATGAAGTCGTTCTTGGCGGTGTTGATGGTGAAAAACTCTGCAGCTTCTTCCTGTAATTGTAACTGTAATTGTAATTGTTATAAGCAGCACTCCCCTTTTCATTGTAATAGTTATTCAAGGATTCTTCCGAGTCTGAATTCGAATTTCCTGTCTCTCCGATCCTTGTCTTATTATCAGTCCAGAAATTTTTTGATGTCCCATTTATCTGAAAAGATGAAACATAAGGAAAATGGTTACATTTGAGAAAAATCTTACTAATGTAACAATTTTGCTCTGTAAAATTTATCAATCTCGATCCATTCTTATCAGTTTTGATCAGTAAAAAAATGGAAATCACATACTACCTCAGTTGGTTATCTACAACTTTGGGGTATTATTTGTGAGATAAAAAATATTCAAAAGTTGTGAGATAACCTTTAACAGAGGTAGCAATTCGTTTTGCAGTCGATTTTAATCACATTTATGCAATTGATCTACATTTATTAGTTACAATAAATAATGTTACAATGCTAAAGTTTACAAATGAAAAAAGAATCTATATGCCATTGATCTGAATTTATTAGTCAATTTCATATTTAGCTCAACAATGTTGATCTGTTATTGCAATTAGAATACAATAAAATTGTAGTCATTGTAAGAAAACCCGTCATACAAGTAACAAAAATCCATTGATGACGGGGTAACATTGATTAAAAGAGTATTAGTATAGTTGGGAAAGGTCGTGATCAAGAAGATGGGAGTTGTCGCCACAAGAATGGTTGAAGCGAAAAGTCAAAAGCTTAATAGTATAAGCAACCATACTATAGTTAGCAAAAAAGTAAGGTGATCGTAATTGAATAGGACGCTTGTGGTTGTGGAAGATTAGAATGCCTAGATTGTGCAACTGCCGCCGCCCTAATCACCTAATTAACTAAACTAATAAACTTGTTGCGCGATCCAACTTAGATTAGCTTATCTAATTGTACACGCACATTCTATCTCGAATCATCTACCATTTGATCATGAATCGATAACCACGAACTATATTCTTTTTTCCCCAAAATTTGGAATCAAGCATATACCTAGCATAAAGTTAATTCAATTTCTTTAGCATTTTTTATGATGTTTTACCTAAAATTACTATACCATCCGATCCCTTTTTATTTTAGTGTTGCACAGAGTACGCAATTGGCAATAATGTGGACCAGATTTAATCTCATTCATACATTCAATCTCATTCATACATTTCAAGGGTATAGACGGTCACAAAGAGCAAATGATGCAAGTAAATTCAATACCCGAATACCCGAATACCACCCAATACTTTAACCAATTGGGGTACATACATGAACTCACATTGATTAAGGGTAACATATTTTACACTTACATCTCCTATGATTAAATTTACATTATTGAATGGTTGTTAACATGTTATCCCATCATTTTTACCAGATTTAGAACACATTTAACAAATTAATTTCTTAATTTAATTTTGTGTTGGACCAAATTCATCCCAATACAACAAACATTAAATTGACCAATTAAAATTAGAAAGAAAAAAAGAAACTAACCTTGCAGGAAAGTGAGCAAAAGGAGAAGGAATCAAGTAAACTACGGTGGCAAACAAGGCAAGTATTAGTAACGCCTTTACCGGGCCGAGGCTGCGGTCGCTGGTTCAAGAATACGATGCGGGCGCTATTGATAATGTAAGTCTGTATCCCTGTTATGTCCACATATTTTTGTATCTCCGTTACCCTTATCACATCATGGTAAGAAGACCGCCTTATCTGAAAAAAAAAAAAAAAAAAAAAAAAAAAAAAAAAAAAAAAACATTCGACCGCCTCCAAAATATCAGAAACGGCTGTGCTCAAACGAGCAATTAATCAATCAAACAGAATAACTATATTACCTGGATTGCGTGGTGATCCTTGTGAGACGATAAGCAAACAGAGCAAAGCGCGCCATTCATACAATCCAAACAAAACATGTTACATTCGCTTTTATGAGCATCAGGGTGAGTCTTACATTGGCCAAAGAAGCTAGTTTTCAAAAGGGGTTTCAACCAAATAGGCCATTTTATCTTCTCTTCATCTTCTACTACTTCTGTTGTTCTCATCATTTGTTCCATTATTCCCATTTTTTTTTTCTTCGAATCAGATAAAAATTCTTGACCTTAGTTTCTATTTTATAGTGGGAATTATTTTTTTTTTTTTTTTTTTTTTTGGGTGTTAATAATATAGCCCACTATTTACTGGGTAAGTAAGAGAAGATAATGATCTAACGATCAAAAAAGAAAGGAAGAAAGTATGGGAGGTGTTGTGTAGAAAAAAATAATAAAAACTTAAAAAGAGGGTGTGAGAAAAGAAAAGACTAGTGAAGTGATGACTGATGAGGTAGTTATCAATTATCAAGCATGACAAAGAAGAAAGTGGGAAGATTAAAAAGACGATACTTTTTCTTTCTTATTTTATATTTTCATTCATGTTTATGTGTATGTGGGTCTTGGTCTATCGTCTGTGTATGGGACTTGGGTGGGTGGAATTTTTACTTGTGCATTTGTGCTTATCTTCTCCTTCTCCAACCTTTTTTTTTTTCGTTTTTCAATACCCTCTATTTCTTTCACATATTATTATTTTATTAATTAAATGCGAGTATCGAATAAATCCAAAGATTTTTATTGATCATATATTAAGTTTTACGGAGCTTTTTCATTGCGACAGGCCACATGGTGCGGCAGGTTACTTGTATTATCGGTTACTTATTTCTGGAGTTACTTGTAGGTGTTACTTGTATTCTGGAATTACTTGTATACTTGTATATACAAGTAACCCCAAACCAAAACCTCGTACCAAACCAATAACACCCTATATAAGTAACCCCCGATCAAAACCAGTAACACCCATACAAGCAACCCCATAATACAAGTAACACCTACAAGTAACCCCTGACCAAAATCAGTAACACCCATACAAGTAACCCCAAAATACAGGTAAAACCTACAAGTAACCCTGACAAAACCAGTAACACCCATACAAGTAACCCCAAAATACAAGTAACACCATACAAGTAACCCCAGCCGCACCATGTGACCAGCCGCATACAAAAATTTGTGAAAAAGTTTTAATACTGCCTCCGTTAATTGTTATTTGCAACTTTAGAAATTATTATATCTCATAAATAATACTCTAAAGTTGTAGATAACAATCAACAAAGATAGTATATATTTTTATTGGTGTATAAATGCAATTATTATTGTGAAAGTAAATGTTACTCCGTCTTAGGACATACATTCATTATATCAAGTTTTAGTACAATACTAGCTGTGTAAAAGATATAAGTGGTTGAGTTTGTATGTTAATACATAAGTAATAATAGTTAGAATGGTGTTTCTAGTCCATTATATGTATGAACAATAAAGTTTGTTGCATGAGTGAATGCCAATGGTGCACTGAAACTTTATACTGATCATGTTTGGAGAATAATCTGATTATTTTTTTACGATGCGATATCTTTGTATGAACTTATCTCAACTTATTAAACTATATAACTTTTTAACAGGGCTAAAAAAACACAACAAATAAACCCAGGCAAACATAACTTTTTTTTGCTAAAAGTGAGTGGTACATACCTTACAGCCTAGCTACTCTCGTCACTTCTTGAATTAACTTGATTATTGTCAATAAAGCAAAGAAGAGGCAATTGGAATTTCATAGGAGTAATTTTATTTTTAAAATGCAAAGTCAAACATACATTTAAGTCAATAAATTAAAATATGTAAGTACAACAGTATTCTAGAGACAAATAAGTGAGGTCAAATATTATGTACTCATATAATTAGTATTTAGTCATAGTCATAGACTGGGCAAGAAGCCAAGAAGCTGGCACTCTTACTTCATAAGTACTCTCAAATATACTCTCAAATGCATGAAATAATTTACGGAATAATACCGGGTATGGATTCTCGAGCCAAAAGTGAGTAAACCAATTATAGGCCACGGGGGGAAGGGTTGCGTTCTCTTAAAGGAACTTCATCTTCTCACGTGCTACATCCTCCTCTCAGCTTTTCCTTATTTTGTCGCACATTTCTTTATTCTTATTTATTTATTTATTACATTATTTATAATTTTAAAATAAATTCATAATTTAATTATAAAAAAAAAAAAAATTGTCATTAGCAATGGAGGCTAAGATTCTTTTTATTTATTTATTTTTTCAATATTTATTTATTTATTAAAGAAATTAGTTAATTGAAGGCCGCATTATTTAAGTTAGGTTGGAGGGCTAATGGCCACAACACATATCCACTTGCAGAAACTGACAAGTGTCCCATTCAGTTTTGCCACTTGATCTCAATATTTGACACGTACTCATCCAATACTGCTCCTTTTTTTCTTTTTCTTTTTTTTTTTTTTTAAATTTTATGCCTCTTCAAAATATAATATTCCAAAGCTTTTTTAATGACTTATTTAAATAACAAGATATGCTCCATTAAAAGTTAATAAAACAAAATTAATACTATTAAAGTATTAATATAATAGATAATCTTTAGATATGGTGCTCAAGATATCCTCGCATCCAACTACGTACTATCCGTATAAACTTTGTTTGCAACAATGAATTTATGAAAATAAATCATTAGTGATATTAATGCTTTTTGTAAAGATTGAATGCATTTGTAAGATATGTTTACGTTTGATCTTCTTTTCTCAAATGCAATTTTGTTCATGTGAATGCATGACATACAAATATACAATTACCACGAAACTTACGTTACCTTACATCTAACATTTGGTTTCCCTTGAAATGTCTCAAGTCACCTAGTTGGAGGAATTATTTAGATTATTTACTATTACAACACTTAAATTATTATCAACTACTATAACGACTACTTCTGTTCCATTCACCTTAATTTCAGTTCATCTTCATTCAGTTCAATTCAGCTCTTAATTTCTTTATCTCATAAACAATTCAATTCAACTCCAATCAATCCAATTCAGTTCAACTCAATTCAATAAACCAGAACAGATCCTTATTCCGAAAAGATGTGATAAAGAAGACAAACAAACAAGTATTTAGAAGAGGCAAAACTTAGGGTCAAGGTCTTAAAGTACCCTAAGCTCCTTAAGAAACAGGGTATATGCAGTTTTGGATTCCATGATGATTATGATATATAGCTGAGTTTGCTATCTACTTTTTTTCACATCATTTTGTAATTCAAAAGCAATATAATACTTGTAAAAAAGTAAAGGAGGACATGCAATTGAAAGTGCCAATTTCTTTTTACCCTTTGAAGAAGTTTGATGAGGTGATTTTGGGTCTTAAAGTTGAAATACTAACTCAAGAAAAGTTCGTGTTTGATTCAGGTGATCAAAGTTAGAGAGTCTAACTTTTACACGTTTCTTAGCAAATCCCTTAAACATTTTCTAAAAAGAAATGTCCCACACCAAACTACAAGGTTAGAAGCCAAGTAGATGTCAAGTCGATCCGACTTAGTAAATTAGATACTTTAAAAGTAAAAGGGAGGATAAAAATTAGAGATTCTCATCATTAAAGTGCTTTTTAATGGGGATTAAATTTTTTATTACAGTAAAATCTTAGGTTTGTTGTGGGGAAAGTTAAGTAGCAATAAGCCAAATCAAAGTAAAAGGCTATTGTTTAAAAAAAAAAAAAAATTAATAATAAGGCTAGTATCATATTATCATCACTATGCAAACACAGGTGTTCCAAGCTAATTGGAACCCTTGTAGTTCAGATAGATAAGGCCTCAATTTTCTTTTTCTTTTTTTCCCCATTTTTAATGTTTTTGAAATTTTAGTGATTTTTTCTATTAATAGTAATTAAGTGTAACTTTATCTAATACGAAGTATAGAAGAGCTACTTAAGTCTCGGATAGCCCAAGGAACAATAAAAAAACAAAAACTTTTGTATATATCCGGTTTACACTAATACTAGTGTACATCGAGCAGTATAGAGGTAACTTTAAGTCAATTTAGGATAACTTTCTGCCTTTTTTTGGGCAACTTTGAACATAATATGATTTTTTTTACAAATCGAAAAAGAAAAGTTTTATAAGGGTGATAAAATTACTTTCAATCACTAATAATTAAATTTTAGCCATTTAAAATGTTATTCGTTACCAATAAAACGTAGATTATTTTTATTTGTATTGGGTTACTTTTATACATATTAGGGTAACTTTTATTCATTTTAGGGGTAACTTTTATTCATTTTAGAGGTAACTTTTGATCACTTTAAGAGAGATTTAAAATGGATGTACAATAATTATTGTACACCCGATTTTTTTAAAAGTTTGTGTAAAAAAAATACTGTAATTGTTATGAGACAAAGTGTCGCTACAATCATAAGCATATTAGATTTTGTGAAATATAAGTAGTTTATGAATAGATTTCAAACATAGTCTCACTATGATAATAGTGAGAAAATTAAGGAAAGAATATAATCTAATTTTGTTAAAAGAATTCGAAGAAATGTGTACAACATCACAAATGTATTGTGGGGAATAAAGACAAGAACAATTTGACTCATTAAACGATAATCATCGATTTCATATTAACAAGTAAAGATCGATCAATAACCCAACTAAACCTAATCGTTCAATTAGTCACAACCCTTAATGGAAAATGAAAAAAAAAAAAAAATCTCATTATCATAGAGATCAATTTTCTGGAAATAACTTCTACACATAATCTTATTTTTATCCGATAATCTTGTCTAGTATAGTCTGAATAAAACAATACCTAGGTCTACAGCCCTACATGTGCCAATTCACATAACTAGATTAGATTCGGTTGAATTTAGTCGAGTTTGGTTCGATTAAATCTAGTCGGATTTAGTGCGAGTCATGCTAAAACACTGCGCCTATAGGTTGAATTTTACGGAGTTTCTTTCGAATCAAGCAAAATAGTAAAATTGGGTTGATTTTTGACGCCTCTACTAATATCTTCAAGCATATCCTAGAGGATTAGACTAAGGGTCTATTCTTTTCCGCTTAATTTCAGTTCAGTTCAATACAGCTCCAATCAATTCAGTTCAATTCAACCCTTAATTTCCTTCTCTTATATAATGTTCAGTTCAATAAATCAAAACAGGTCCTAAAAAAGCATAGTATGTCACCATCAATTTAATCAAGAATGTTCAATATATATCTATATATCGTGTACTACCAAAATAGATATAAAAATAAATTAAATTATGTAGAATTTAATGGGAGTGCCTTGTGAAGAGTAGCAGTACTAATAAATAACTAGGTATTATAATGGTCAGAGTCAGCATCTCTGCATTCATTCTGCAAGTTGAAGACAAACAATTCAAGCACTCCATCTTTTATTTCACGTCATGATTCATGCTTTCTTTTTTCATTTGTCAAATTTTTGTCACCCCTTTGAAAATGAAATGAAGAAAATTAATAAATAATAATCCAATTGATATCAACTTTTTAAAGAGTTGACCCAACTATAATTCTGGCTTTTTCCATGACATTTTATCATGGGCTTATACTCTTGCTTTTGATGGACCTATTTG